TTGGCCAAGTGTACTTGATTGAGACAAGAAGAAGTTTGAAATTTACCAAGTAGAAATTGTTCAAATGTTGCTTTGCAAGTGTCACATTCATTTTGCCTTTTCATTTGAATTTTGCTTCGCAAGTGTCACATCACATTGTCACATTCATATTGCATTTTTGTTTTAATTGTGTCACTACTTATGATAGTTCATATTTTGATTATTACCGGCTCTTGATCATTCTCATAAAAATGATGTAACAAATGGGAATTCTACTTGGTACCTATTTAGGGCAAAAAGAAGTTTGAGATTTACAAGTAAAAATTGTTCAAATTTTGCTTTGCAATTGTCACATTCATATTGCATTTTCGTTCGAATTTTGCTTTGCAAGTGTCACATTCATTTTGCCTTTTCATTTGAATTTTGCTTCGCAAGTGTCACATCACATTGTCACATTCATATTGCATTTTTGTTTGAATTGTGTCACTACTTATGATAGTTCATATTTGGATTATTACCGGCTCTTGATCACCCTTGGAAAAATGATGTAAAAAATAAAAATTTTATTTGGTACCCCGGCCCGAAGGGCCGGAGTTATACGCGAGCCCGAAGGGCCGGAGTTATACGAGAGCCCGAAGGGCCGGAGTTATACGCGAGCCCGAAAGACGGAGTTATACGCGAGCCCGAAGGGCCGGAGTTATATGCGAGCCCGAAGGGCTAAAGTTATTTTAATCACGGGGCCCAATCTATAATTCTATTGGTTAGCGGATAATTTGAAGCCAATCAAAAATCGGGAACATAAAAATTTCGGCGTTCTAACACGACGGTACTTTTTCGCTTATACCTCGCTATTTCTCAACCGATTGACCAGAAAAAAATTGTGGGTACCCGACATGAGGCCACTTTGTCAGAATTCCTGTCCTGTAATTATTCTGACATTAGAGGTCGACTGGAGACTAGACTCTCACATGCTTCACTGAAATCTAGCATTTAAATGGACCGCGGATCTGAGCGTCCAATAGAAATGCCGGAAACATATCGAACCACTACTGGGGTTCAGCGACAATACAACACAATAGGAAAATGCGTACCAGTTTTATGAGACAAGAAAATGTTTGATATTTATATCGCATTTTTGTTAAAACTGTGTCACGATAGTTCATATTTTGATTATAACCGGCTCTTGATCACCCTTGGAAAAATGACGTAACAGATGAAAATTTTACTTGGTACTTGACTGAGGCCAGAAGAAGTTTGAGATTTACCAAGTAGAAATTGTTCAAATTTTGCTTTGCAAGTGTCATCTATGTTGCCTTTTCATTCGAATTTTGCTTTGCAAGTGTCACATTCGTATTGCGTTTCTGTTTAAATTGTGTCACTACTTATGATAGTTCATATTTTGATTTTTACCGGCTCTTGATCACCCTTGGATAAATGACCTAACAGATGAAAATTTTACTTGGTACTTGACTGAGGCCAGAAGAAGTTTGAGATTTACCAAGTAGAAATTGTTCAAATTTTGCTTTGCAAGTGTCATCTATGTTGCCTTTTCATTCGAATTTTGCTTTGCAAGTGTCACATTCGTATTGCGTTTCTGTTTAAATTGTGTCACTACTTATGATAGTTCATATTTTGATTTTTACCGGCTCTTGATCACCCTTGGAAAAATGACGTAACAGATGGAAATTTTACTTGGTACTTGACTGAGGCAAGAAGAAGTTTAAGATTTACCAAGTAGAAATTGTTCAAATTTTGCTTTACAAGTGTCATCCAGGTTGCCTTTTCGTTCGAATTTTGCTTTGCAAGTGTCACATTCATATTGCGTTTCTGTTTAAATTGTGTCACTACTTATGATAATTCATATTTTGATTATTACCGGCTCTTGATCACCCTTGAAAAAATGACGTAACAGATGAAAATTTTACTTGGTACTTGACTGAGGCCAGAAGAAGTTTGAGATTTACCAAGTAGAAATTGTTCAAATTTTGCTTTGCAAGTGTCATCTATGTTGCCTTTTCATTCGAATTTTGCTTTGCAAGTGTCACATTCATATTGCGTTTCTGTTTAAATTGTGTCATTACTTATGATAGTTCATATTTTGATTTTTACCGGCTCTTGATCACCCTTGGATAAATGACCTAACAGATGAAAATTTTACTTGGTACTTGACTGAGGCCAGAAGAAGTTTGAGATTTACCAAGTAGAAATTGTTCAAATTTTGCTTTGCAAGTGTCATCTATGTTGCCTTTTCATTCGAATTTTGCTTTGCAAGTGTCACATTCGTATTGCGTTTCTGTTTAAATTGTGTCACTACTTATGATAGTTCATATTTTGATTTTTACCGGCTCTTGATCACCCTTGGAAAAATGACGTAACAGATGGAAATTTTACTTGGTACTTGACTGAGGCAAGAAGAAGTTTAAGATTTACCAAGTAGAAATTGTTCAAATTTTGCTTTACAAGTGTCATCCAGGTTGCCTTTTCGTTCGAATTTTGCTTTGCAAGTGTCACATTCATATTGCGTTTCTGTTTAAATTGTGTCACTACTTATGATAATTCATATTTTGATTATTACCGGCTCTTGATCACCCTTGAAAAAATGACGTAACAGATGAAAATTTTACTTGGTACTTGACTGAGGCCAGAAGAAGTTTGAGATTTACCAAGTAGAAATTGTTCAAATTTTGCTTTGCAAGTGTCATCTATGTTGCCTTTTCATTCGAATTTTGCTTTGCAAGTGTCACATTCGTATTGCGTTTCTGTTTAAATTGTGTCACTACTTATGATAGTTCATATTTTGATTTTTACCGGCTCTTGATCACCCTTGGAAAAATGACGTAACAGATGGAAATTTTACTTGGTACTTGACTGAGGCAAGAAGAAGTTTGAGATTTACCAAGTAGAAATTGTTCAAATTTTGCTTTGCAAGTGTCATTCTTGTTGCTTTTTCGTTCGAATTCTGCTTTGCAAGTGTCAGATTCATATTGCGTTTCTGTTTAAATCGTGTCACTACTTATGATAGTTCATATTTTGATTTTTATCGGCTTTTGATCACCCTTGGAAAAATGACGTAACAGATGAAAATTTTACTTGGTACTTGACTGAGGCAAGAAGAAGTTTAAGATTTACCAAGTAGAAATTGTTCAAATTTTGCTTTGCAAGTGTCATCTATGTTGCCTTTTCATTCGAATTTTGCTTTGCAAGTGTCACATTCGTATTGCGTTTCTGTTTAAATTGTGTCACTACTTATGATAGTTCATATTTTGATTTTTACCGGCTTTTGATCACCCTTGGAAAAATGACGTAACAGATGAAAATTTTACTTAGTACTTGACTGAGGCAAGAAGAAGTTTGAGATTTACCAAGTAGAAATTGTTCAAATTTTGCTTTGCAAGTATCATCCATGTTGCCTTTTCGTTCCAATTTTGCTTTGCAAGTGTCACATTCATATTGCGTTTCTGTTTAAATTGTGTCACTACTTATGATAGTTCATATTTTGATTTTTACCGGCTCTTGATCACCCTTGGAAAAATGACGTAACAGATGAAAATTTTACTTGGTACTTGACTGAGGCAAGAAGAAGTTTAAGATTTACCAAGTAGAAATTGTTCAAATTTTGCTTTACAAGTGTCATCTAGGTTGCCTTTTCGTTCGAATTTTGCTTTGCAAGTGTCACATTCATATTGCGTTTCTGTTTAAATTGTGTCACTACTTATGATAGTTCATATTTTGATTATTACCGGCTCTTGATCACCCTTGAAAAAATGACGTAACAGATGAAAATTTTACTTGGTACTTGACTGAGGCCAGAAGAAGTTTGAGATTTACCAAGTAGAAATTGTTCAAATTTTGCTTTGCAAGTGTCATCTATGTTGCCTTTTCGTTCGAATTTTGCTTTGCAAGTGTCACATTCATATTGTGTTTCTGTTTAAATTGTGTCACTACTCACTACTTATGATAGTTCATATTTTGATTTCTACCGGCTCTTGATCACCCTTGGAAAAATGACGTAACAGATGAAAATTTTACTTGGTACTTGATTGAGGCAAGAAGAAGTTTTAGATTTACCAAGTAGAAATTGTTCAAATTTTGCTTTGCAAGTATCATCCATGTTGCCTTTTCGTTCCAATTTTGCTTTGCAAGTGTCACATTCATATTGCGTTTCTGTTTAAATTGTGTCACTACTTATGATAGTTCATATTTTGATTTTTACCGGCTTTTGATCACCCTTGAAAAAATGACGTAACAGATGAAAATTTTACTTGGTACTTGACTGAGGCAAGAAGAAGTTTGAGATTTACCAAGTAGAAATTGTTCAAATTTTGCTTTGCAAGTGTCATTCTTGTTGCTTTTTCGTTCGAATTCTGCTTTGCAAGTGTCACATTCATATTGCATTTTTGTTTAAATTGTGTCACTACTTATGATAGTTCATATTTGGATTATTACTGGCTCTTGATGATTTTCATAAAAATGATGTAACAAATGGAAATTTTACTTGGTACTTGATTGAGACAAGCCTGAGGTTGAGATTTACCAAGTAGAAATTGTTCAAATTTTGCTTCGCAAGTGTCACATCCATGTATGTAGAACTAATAAATCAATGACATACTTTTTGTCAACTAACAACCACCAATTAAAACACCAGACAGGTATAAGCAGATTTCAGTGTTTATTTCAACAGTGGCTTCCTATATCCTATTCACAATCCGTAGTCCAAAGGTAAAGGTAAATTTATCACCTCTCAAATAGCACTGAAAGGTGATAAATTTTATCTTTACTTTTCGGATTGTGAATAGATAATACATTAGAACGCCAATGGTCACCTGACGTCATACCTGTTTGTGCCATAAGCTTCACCCCCTCGCTCCGAATACGGAAAGTGTCAGATTAGAATCGACAAACAATAGGTGGTGTGAACTAATAAAACACAACTTCAACAACACAATATACCAACTGCCAAAAAATGCTATAATAAGAAGGTACAGGCAAAAAAAAATTAATAAATAAATAATCTCTTACAGGTTTCACTGGAACCCAATGCGAAATCGACATCGACGAGTGCAAAGACAAACCTTGCCTGAACGGCGGAGTATGCCAGGACCTCATCAACTCATTCAAGTGCACTTGCGCAGCCGGTTTCAGCGGTTCCCGGTGCCAAATCAACATCGACGATTGCGTAAACCAACCGTGCATGAACGGCGGCACGTGCCAAGACTCGATAGCACGGTACACGTGCGAGTGCCCGCCCGGCTACACCGGCAACTCCTGCGAGACCAACATCAACGACTGCCAATCTTCACCGTGCCATCACGGAGAGTGTATTGATGGTGAAAATTCGTTCACTTGCCAGTGCCATCCTGGTTATATGGGTAGACTTTGTCAGTATCAGCTTAATGAGTGCGACTCGAATCCTTGTCAGTATGGAGGGATTTGTCAGGACCTTGTTAATGGTTATCAGTGTCTTTGTAAGGCTGGAACATCTGGGCACAATTGCGAAATTAACATCAACGAGTGCTATAGTAATCCTTGTAGAAATGGTGCTACTTGCATTGATGGAATTAATAGGTAAGAATTGTTAGGGAAAAGTACCATAAATAATAATCCATTTTTTTCTTACTTCCCAACACATACCTACTAACTCTTTATTTATTTCATGCTTTCTAGTGGAAATCCATTTCTTGCGTAAGTTATTTTCAGTGTGTTTTTGATTTTAAAGCATGATATTGTGCAGTTTGTACTGATCCAACATACAGGGTGTACCATTCAAAACCATATGCCACGTTTATTTTTTTTTTTAAATCGCTCATACACGTAATTTGATTTTCAAAGGGAGAAGTTTTCTGCAACCATTTTTAGCAGTTCCACTATAACACTCTAGGCGGGGTGGAACCAACATCTTTACTATTACAAATGAAACGAAGGGGCGAGTGATACCTTTTTTGAAAGAGCTTTCAATTATCTTTCATTTGAAATAAAATTGAACTCTCTTTTAAAACCAGGTCTCATTCGACCCCTTGTTCCATTGGGAATGATAAAGGTGGGTCTTACAATCTTATCCCCCTAGAGGGTGAAGCAAGTGATGAAAATGGTTCAAAGACTCACACAATCAAGTTACGTGTACGAGCGATTTAAAAAAAATCAAAGTGACATCAGCATCAGATATTTAGCCTGTTTCGTTGTAAATGATACCCTGATATACCCTGTATAACTCTTCGGTTTCATCCAAACTGCGCAATAAGGTGATTTTTTGTTTCAATTTCCTATAGCATGTCAATTAGTTCTTGCATGTAAATAAAAACTTTTTCCAGCTACAATTGCGAATGTAGACAAGGCTACACGGGTCGTCACTGCGAAAACGACATAGACGAGTGCGCTTCAAATCCATGTGCCAACGGCGGCGTGTGTATCGACCTTGTGAACGGCTTCAGATGCGAATGCCCTCGAGGTTACTACGACGCTCGCTGTCTCAGCGACGTGGACGAGTGCAAGAGCAATCCGTGCAAACATGGTGGCAGCTGCGAAGACGGTGTCAACCAATTCATTTGTCATTGCTTATTGGGATACGGAGGCAAACAATGCGAAATCCAAATAGACGAGTGCGCCTCAAACCCGTGCCAACATGGCGGTATCTGTCACGATCATTTGGCTTCCTACACGTGCGAGTGCGCTGCCGGGTATTCAGGAATCAATTGCGAAATAAACGTGGACGATTGTGCCATCAATCCGTGCAAAAATAGCGGCTCTTGTATTGATTTGGTTGATGACTACAAATGTGTTTGTGAACTACCATACACTGGCAGACAGTGTCAAGACAGATTAGATCCTTGTGCACCCAATAAGTATGTTAAAATATCTATATGTGATATATCAATTTGAAATTATTTATTCCAATTATAGGTGTCGTCATAATGCCAAGTGCACTCCCAGCTCCAACTACATGGATTTTGCTTGCACCTGCAATTTAGGCTACACAGGACGGTTTTGCGAACAAGATGTTGACGAGTGCGTGGTTTCCAAACCGTGCAGAAACGGGGCTACTTGTAGAAACGTCAACGGCTCTTATCAGTGCTTGTGCGCCCGAGGTTACGAGGGAAAAGATTGCAGCATCAACACTGACGATTGCGCATCATGTACCTAAGCAATAATTATTATCTTTATTAGCAATTCTAAATTACATTTTGTAGATCCGTGTCAAAATGGTGGTACTTGCCTTGACGAAATCGGCGAGTTCACTTGTCTCTGCGTCAATGGTTTCGAAGGCAAACAGTGCGAAGTGGACGTGGACGAATGCTTATCCAATCCTTGTAGAAACGGCGCCACTTGCAACCAATACGTGGATTCCTATACGTGCACTTGCCCTCTAGGATTTTCCGGAATCAATTGCGAAACCAATGACGAAGATTGTACCGAAAGTAGCTGCATGTACGGAGGCACTTGTATTGATGGCATCAACTCTTATACTTGTAGCTGTAAGCCCGGGTAAGTTACTGTTATATTATTTTTTATAAAGTGTCATGTCATAGTCAGATTTGATAATAAAAGAGTCACATCTACAACGTAATTTCTTACATAATAAATAACATTTACTCATGTATACAGGGTGGGGCACAAAAAACTTCCCACCCAGGTTTTCTCAGGTATTAGGTAATTAATTAAAAATCGCTAGAACACCTCAATTTTTGTTTTTTGGGGGACACATTTTATTGGTATTTTCACCCCCTAACCTGTCAACCGCTAAGTGGAGGTGACATGTATCCCCAAAATTTCAAATGAAAAAAGGGGTCGAGTGATACGTCATTTAATAACTATTTTCATTAAGATTATATCCCTGAAGTTTTAAGTTGCTACCATTTACCCTGTCGAAATGGTGGTTTGTCAAAGCAATCTTACTGAAAATAGCTACCAAATGACATATCACTTGACCCCTTTTTCCATTTGAAATTTTAGGGGTACCTGTTAACCCCACTTGAGTTTTTCGTGCCCTACCCTGTATGCTGTGCTGATTGATACCAATGAACTATTTATGTACTGCACGTAACTGGAACGGGCCCAACATTTCAATGTCTATTTTTGAGGCAAATTTTACGGTAGTGAGAACGACAATAAAAGGGGTTGTTGGCTGTGTTGCACACGTAAATCGTGGGTCAGTCAATCAATCAAAATAATTTGAAAATGTTAGAGTTTTCTGCGAAATAAAGTAGTCATCAAACAAAACTTATGTTAACAGTAGTGATTTGTTATATTGGCGCCCAACGTGGGGCCCGAAAAGTGTCATAAACTGGTGAAGTGACTCTGGAAAGTTCCCACCAAATTTGCAAGTTTTGTTTTGTTTTTGTATGTATATCCCAGTTATAATCCGTAGTCTAAAGGTAAAGGTAAATGTATCACCTTTCCTTATCAAATAGCACTGAAAGGTGACAAATTTTACCTTTACCTTTGGACATCGGATTGTGAATAGATGATAGATAATTCCGCGTGTGGCTAAATTCACCAAAATGGTGCAGCGCCACAGATGCGGTGATTACGAATTACGATTCACTAATGCTAATGGCAAACCATAACTTGTCAAACCCGGTTTAATTTAACAACACTGGTTCTTCTACCATTCCACCACTGTGCCTACACCACAGGCTGATACTGCAACCTACTACATTGTTGTCAACAACCTTTTAGTAACTCCCCAACAGCTCCCCACTTCCCCGCTAGAGTGTTTCTGACAACACATGAAATAGGGATTCCGTACAAATTGGGAAATACAGATCTACTACATTATAATATATTATTTTCAATTGTTGTTTTGTTGTTAATGTTTCTGTTATTTTTTTTAAAGTTACACGGGTTCTAACTGCCAAAACCGCATCAACTTATGCGACAGCTTACCTTGTCGCAATGGAGCCACTTGTCAAGACCACACCACCCATTACACGTGCCACTGCCCGTACGGTTACACTGGCAAAGATTGCAGCGAGTACGTGGACTGGTGCAGCACCGATCCGTGCGAAAATCAAGCCACATGTCACCAATCGAAGAACCAATACTCTTGCGCCTGCGGCCCTGGATGGACCGGAAAAGTGTGCGACGTTGAAATGGTCAGTTGTCAAGACGCTGCTGCAAGAAAAAACATCCCTTGGCAATTATTATGCAATAACGGTACTTGTGAGACTATTGGCAACTCGCACAGGTGCCACTGCAAGGACGGCTATACAGGCTCCTACTGTCAAAAAGATATCAACGAATGTGAAACGGCTCCTTGTCAAAATGGCGGTCTTTGTCGAGATCATGTAGGCTCTTACGTTTGCGAGTGCCGTAAAGGTTTTCAAGGGCAAAATTGCGAACTCAATGTGGACGATTGCTACCCGAACCCTTGCCAAAATGGCGGCACCTGTCACGATTTAATCAACAATTTCCAGTGCTCGTGTCCTTCAGGCACCTTAGGATTGCTTTGCGAAATCAACCAAGACGACTGCACACTAGACTCTTGCCACAATAACGGTACTTGCCTAGATAGAGTGGGCAGTTTTGAGTGCAAATGTCCTCCCGGCTTTGTGGGTCCTCGATGTGAAGGAGACATAAACGAGTGTTTGTCAAATCCGTGCTCTAACCCAGGTACTTTGGACTGTGTTCAATTGGTCAACGATTATCATTGCAATTGCAAGGCAGGCTTTATGGGTAGACACTGTGAAAGAAAAGTAAACTTTTGTGCAGCTTCTCCATGTCAAAATGGTGGCGTTTGCACTACAATACACACAGGCCATAAGTGCACCTGTCAAGAAGGCTATTATGGCAAAAATTGCGAATTTAGCGGCTACGATTGCGACTCTGATCCTTGTCAAAATGGAGGTATTTGTCGCATATCAGACTCTGAAGGTTACATATGTGATTGTCCTCCAGGAACTACAGGAGTTAATTGCGAAATTGATTCAATGAATGAGTGCAACAGTAATCCTTGTCAACATCCAGATGCCACTTGTCAAGACAAATTCAGCGATTACGCCTGTTACTGTCCGCCAAAACATACAGGCAAAAATTGCGAAGTCTACGACAGAAACTTTATAGGAGGTTTGGGCAGGCCAATGAAAACCAAAGAAATTTTTAATACTTTTTACGAAAAGGATTTGGAAAGACAACGGCAACAATGTATTGCTAATAAGTGCCCTATGAAGCGTGGAAACAGACATTGCGATGAAGAATGCAACATTTACGCATGCGATTTTGACGGAAACGATTGTTCTTTAGGTATAAATCCTTGGGCCAACTGTACAGCTCCCATTAAATGCTGGGAACATTTTGGAGATGGCATTTGCAATGAGGAATGCAACACCCCACAATGCCTATTTGACGGAAGGGATTGCGAAAAGAAGCTGCAACCTTGTAACCCTATATATGATGCTTACTGTCAAAAACACTATGCCAACGGCCATTGCGACTATGGTTGTAATAATGCCGAATGCAACTGGGACGGTTTAGATTGCGAAGAACAACGGCCTCCTGAAATTGCAGAAGGTGTCATTAGTATGGTGGTTTTAATGGATAAACAAGCCTTCAAAAAGAATCTTATAGCGTTTCTTAGGGACACTTCGCATCAATTACGCACTACAGTTAGAGTCAAGAAGGACCATTTGGGCAAAGACATGATATATTCTTGGTCGGGAAACACTAATGCTAAGGCCCAATTGGACGATGACTATTACAAAAGAAATAGGGTAGCTTTTTCAGAAACTGTTCAGTCTGGGGTGAAGGTTTATTTGGAAATTGACAACAGAAAATGTACCGAGTATTCTGATAGTGGAGAGTATTGTTTCCAAACTGCCAGTGCTGCAGCTGAATTTTTAGCAGCAAAAGCCTCAAAACACTCCTTATCTCAGAGCTTCCCAATATATCAAATAAATGGTTCTTCAGATGATGATGACATAACACAGCCAACCAACATCAAATATGTTGTCATGGGTATTCTATTGGTCATCTGCATGGCTGGAGTGATATTTATAGTAGTGCAAACTCAACGAAAACGCGCCGCAGGCATTACGTGGTTCCCAGAAGGATTTTTACGAACAAACTCGGGCACTAGACGCCGCAGGCGAGGCCCAGAAGGACAAGAATTGAGAAACCTCAGTAAAAACCTTCCGATTCCTGGCATGGAGCTGGACTCGCAACACGGTCACGTGTCTCAATATTCTGACGACGATAGCTATCCAAATTATCCTTTGCCTGCTAAAAGAGGTCGCGTCGAAGCTGGTTATGCTAGCGATCACACTGCAATCACTGAATATGAAGAAGCCGAGCCTAGATGGACACAAACCCATTTGGAAGCTGCCGATATAAGACCTAGTGCCATGTTAACACCGCCTCAAGGTGAAAATAATCACGATATAAATGCTAGAGGGCCTTGTGGCATGACTCCTATTATGGTAGCGGCTGTTAGAGGTTTAGGGATGGACACTGGAGAAGATGACGAAGACGACGGTTCTGGAGCGGTTATACAAGACTTGGTAGCACACGGGGCCGACTTACACGCAACCATGGACAAAACTGGAGAAACTTCTTTGCATTTAGCTGCTAGATATGCTCGAGCAGATGCAGCCAAGAGATTATTAGACGCAGGAGCAGATGCTAATGCTCAAGATAACACCGGAAGGACACCACTGCACGCAGCCGTAGCTGCTGATGCACTAGGAGTTTTCCAAATACTACTGCGAAATAGGGCCACCAACTTGAATGCTAGAATGCACGAAGGTACTACTCCACTGATTTTAGCAGCTCGATTGGCTATTGAAGGTATGGTTCAGGATTTGATTAGTGCCGAAGCAGATATCAATGCCGCTGATAATTCTGGCAAAACTGCTCTGCACTGGGCCGCTGCAGTGAATAACGTCGAGGCTGTTAATATATTGTTGTCGCACGGTGCCAATAGGGACGCGCAGGACGATAAAGATGAAACCCCGTTGTTTTTGGCTGCTAGAGAAGGTAAGGATATTTTTTGAGTATATAATTTCTATCTTCTCTTTTCTCTACAACAAACTAGTTGTGAAAAATAATTGGCAGTTATCTTGAGTTACTATATGTAGATGAGTTAACTTGAAGCAAGTCGGAATTTTTATTCTCTTTACTTTGACGTTTTAAAATATAGTTAGTCATTCACATTATATGATCAAAAATTGCCTTTTCAAGGTTCCTACCACACATGTAAAGCCTTACTAGAAGCCTACGCCAACAGAGACATAACAGATCACATGGAACGATTACCAAGAGACATCGCCTGCGAAAGGCTCCATCACGACATTGTCAGATTACTTGACGAACATGTACCAAGAAGTCCACAAATGGTCAACGTAGTTTCCAACAGTCAAATGCTAAGTAAGTACAACTCTAAAGCTAATTTTACGTTGTATTTTTTACGTTGCTCATTTTAGCTTCGCCCACAGGTCACATGCTGCAACAACCCACCGTGATAGTACCGAAAAGGCAAAAATCAAAGAGGCCAAGCAAAAATGCCGGACCTACTAGCCCTGATGATGGTACTGATGGTAATCATAATGGAGGAAGCATCAGACGGAAGGCCAGCGTTAAAAGATCAAATAACAATAATAACAATAATAAAAAAGTAAAGAGGAAATTGTCATAAAAAATATTGGTAAAATATTAATTATTGATTTATTATAGGTTCAAGCTCAAACTCAAGTGAGTGAAGCACCTCCACAAAGTACAGACTCCTTAGGGTCATCGATGAGCCCTGTCGAATCTCCAATGACCAATTTGCCTAGTCCCTATGACACTACAACGTTATACTCAAATATGGGGCTTTCAGCGCAAGGACTTGAATCCCTAATGGGTAAGAATTTTTTCCTATTCTAGTACTTGATATAATAAATTGAATTTTATTTGCAGCCAATAAGCAACCTCCAAGCTACGAAGACGTTGTAAAAAACACTTTACAATTTGGGATCGACAACTATGGCGCGTTCAATATTTTTCAACAGGACGCCTTGATGATGCAACAGAGGCAATTGCAGAATACCCTGAGTCCGCCCTATTCGAACCAGAGCCCGCCCCATTCGGTTCAGAGTAACATGTCTTTGTCACCGCAAGGGTAAGTAGTTTCACAGCTAAATTTTCTTTTAGTAATTAATATGGGTTTTTGAGAGACACATAATTTGGCAATATTCAATTTTAGTTATAACGGTTCGCCATCTCCGGCCAAAAACCGTCCCTCGTTGCCCACCAGTCCCACTCACATTGCCGCCATGAGAGCGGCGACTCAACAAAAACACGGCGGAGTGCCCCAAACCCAAAACCTACCGATGGGGTTCGATTTTAGCCAGACGGGCCTCGAAATGCCACTCGCCTATATTGGTCAGGCTACACAGGCTTTGGGACAGGCTCAGACGCAGATACAAGCTCAGAATCAACAACAAGCGTTTGCTGTAAGTAGAATTTTATTATTATTATTATTTTGTATAACATTTCCTGAGTATTCAATAACACATCATCATATCACCATTGTGTTTTCTATGTTAATTTCATTTACTTCTGAGTAACCGTTTTCTTTTGTGTTTGATACAAAGTCAGGTTGCTCTGATTCATTTTCCTGACACTGGATCATTTTGGCCGCTTCGCCTTTTTGTTCTGCAAGTATCTTATCGTTTAACAGTTTATTTTTATTATTATGACTCATCTTTGTTCAGACAATCTTTGCTCAGACACATTTACTTCAGGATATTTTTCAGTAAATTCCTCATTTAATATTTTGCGATATTTCAGTAAAGTCCATTTCTAATTTTATTATGAAGTAATAAGCAATGTACCTATAATAAATTTATTAGTTTCCTGATTCCATGTCATCCATACTCTCTCCTTCCCAGCTTTAATGAACGCAGGTTTCAGTGCATTTTAACTCTGCGTATTGTGATTCAGAAGAGCATATTTTAAATGTTGATTTCTGTGTTTCTCCAAGAGCCTGTATTTCCAGGCTTGTTCCAAATGGTGTTGTCTTACTCATATTTGTGCAGTACTCACTAGCACTTTTTAACCTCTTGTGAGACCCCAAATTCAGAAACTTGGTAAGATGTTAAATTGGCGAGCGGTGACTGTTTAGTTTCTGAGTGGAGACACAATTTAAAGTGGGCCCTATTTGCGGGTGAAGAGTAAAACACAGAAATATTGATTTACAGTTTGACTCGACTCACACTCTTGCCTTCACAATTTCTGGCTGAACATAAAAAACACTACTTACATTTAACAATAATATATTTACTGCTGGCAACATATAATTACATGGAATTGTTATCGGTCGAAGGAATTCACTCTACTTATAAACATTTAATAAAACTCGAATATTTTCGCACTGTTATTTCACGTCGTGCTTTTTCTCTCGGTTAATTCGACATTTCTTTCACGCCGTAGTTCTGACTTTCTGTACAGGGTGTCCCAAATTCGAGGGTGACCATTGAGATATCGGAAACTATAAGAGATACGAGGTTGGTTAAATTATGGCAAAGTTGCGCAATTGTATGACCAATAAAATGCCGCTTTGAAATTTGAAAAATTCCGAATACTTCCGAAGATATTCGGAAAAAACCGAAATTTTGCAAAATCATTTTTATTTTTCCCTGAGTCTATTTGAAGTGCAATTTCAAAATAAATGTCACTTCATCGTTGCCACTTTTTTCCCTTTACAAGATTCTGCTACCAAATTTCAGATTCGACGTTTCGTCTTTGGGCGGCCATCATCAACTTCGTTTTTCCAAATACGGACCTAGATTTTTTGTTTCAGATTTTAATAGTTTCTGATGTCCCAAAACCTATGACGTATTGCATTTATTCGAAATAGCTATTTACCTAACAAGTGCGGAAAATGAATTTTTCCGCACGCGGCTGCCGTTCACCGAACGACGCGTAGCGGAGTTCGGTGATGCAGCAACGAGTAAAATTTTTTCTGCACTGATAGCCGTGCGGAAAAACTTTTTCCGCACTGATATGTCAAAAAAAAAAGTTTTACCGCACCGTGCGGGAAAACTCATTTTCCGCACGCATATCAGTGCGGAAAATCGATTTTTCCGCACGGCTGTAGGAAAAAATATTTTTATCACTTTTTAGCAATTTCCTACCAAAATTCTCGTCTGTCTCTCTCTTCAACATCTTATAAAGGGGAAAGAGTGATAATGATGAAGTGATATTTATTTTAAAATTGCTCTTCAAATAGACTCAGGAGAAAATAAAAATGATTTTGCAAAATTTCGGGTTTTTCCGAATATCTTCGGAAGTATTGGTCATAAAATTGCGCAACTTTGCCATAATTTAACCGACCTCGTATCTCTTATAGTTTCCGATATCTCAATGGTCACCCTCGAATTTGGAATACCCTGTACACAGGTTTATCGATTCTCGATTACTACTTTGTTTCTTGATTACTTAACCGACACTGGTCTTTCACGCCGTAGTTCTGCCGGTTTACTAGCTTTTTCTCAAACACTCTTTTCTCGAACACTGATTTTCTCCTGCCAAAGTTGTCTTTTTACATGATTGGTCCCTCCATTGTCTTGAATTTCTTTGTTTTTTCTGATCTCGATTTTTTGGGGTTGAATCATCCGATCAATTAATGTATTTGGTCCCCTTTTAATTATTTATCAGGGGCGTCGCTAAGTGGTTTGTTAAGTGGGTATCATCATATAGGCTCGTGCGTGATTTATTGATCCTTTTAGAAATTCTTCGGCTGCTTTGGAATGTTAATTGTTGAAAGCACTTAAAAAAAGGTCCATGAACTCTTTCTTTATTCATATTTCAATGTATTAGTCAGTATAGGGTATCGGCTTTCAATAATTTCTGGATATCGATGTTCAGATAAATTTAAATTGAAGTTTTTGGTTGTGCTTGTGTGATGGTCTCTCCTGGGATGGTTGTTTGGTAAGTCCTTGTTATTTTTGATTAAAATTTCTGTAGTCACTACACTCTCTTTTTCCAGCACAACATAAACCTGCAGGTTTTTCCAGTTTCTTCATATATATTTGACGGCATCTTGTCTCAGCTGATCACGAAAATTTTGATGCCCATACATGTGCAAGCTGACCGCTCTAAAAAGGCAGCTGCCCTCTCCGATTATAGTTTCTCTGGTGAAAGATATTTTTTGGTTTGGTTTGCTGCAGATCTCGTTGTCCTTATTTCTTGTGTGTGGTTCCATTCAGTGCAGTGAAGCCACTTGCTTAATCAATATCCACTAGCGAGACATAACGACGGTTCGAAAAGGGTACTTGCTTCCATATACCTACCACCATAGTTGGCTTTTCCCTTATTTTGTATTTTCATTGCTTCAAATAAATTGAGTTACGAGATAAGCTCTCGTCAGCAGGTCTCCGACGACCAGTATTCAGCCACTCTTAACATGGAGTACAGACGCTGTTGGAGTACCGCTCCTAACATGAAGTACCGTCGCGTCTGTGCTAATTTTGGTTCGTCCCGAGTATTTGATTTCCTCGGTACCATACTCGGTAGGCATTCCTATATCCACCACCTAGGGAGGCGTCCGGTATGGGATTAGCAACCCACGCAAAGTATTATTATTATTATTATTATTATTATTATTATTATTATTATTATTATTATTATTATTATTATTATTATTATTATTATTAATATTATGGTACGACAGTAAACAGTTTACACTGATGAGACTATTCGATTACTTGTAAGTTTATCGTCGTGTTTTTGTCCATAATGAATATTCACTTAGAATAATGCACTCATATCAGTGTCGACCTTATTCTGGAAAGAATCAAACTCTGCGCAGTGACTGTAGAATTTGACAGGCTGTTCCATGAGTAGACAATTCGATTTACTAAGAAGAAAGTATGACTTCGTAGATGGGGGACTTCATTGAAGGTAAAGATGTCAAGGTTACAGGAGTAGCCATTTCGAATAATCTCCTCTGGGAATAAGGTAATCTTCATTACAGAGTGATGGTGGAATCTTTGTTGCTCGTTTCTGCACACGCTCTAGTATCTCAATATCCTTTATGAGGTACGGATTCCAAACTGAGTGGGCGTGCATCTCTCATTTCAGATTAAAGGTCTCTTACACCTAAATCCATTTGTTCTTTTACATGCTTCAGCTCAACATTGTTCATTTTGTAAACATATTCAGGGGTATTAATCCCAATGCTCAAGGTAGTACATTTTTCTTCGTTTAGCCTTATTTTCCAGGTATTGGACCACACTTCTATAGCTCTGAGATCTTCTTGCAATTTCTTGTGCTTTACGGCCTTTGCATACAATTTCGTATCTTCAGCAAAAAGTAGGATTTTGGTATGGATATTTGATGTTATATGGCTGATATATATTGGAAAAAGTAGAGGGCCCAGTACTAATCCCTGGAGCACTCTACTTTGGACTTTTCTTTTGTCTGAAAATTTTGCATTTATTTTTACTTGTTACCACCTGGTCACCTGCGGTTGCGACGGTTGGATAAGGGAGACTTTGTTTTAGCACTGGTAAAGGCCCTTTTGTACTGCGGTAGCGTGCCACCAGGGACCTTGTTTAAAGTCCCACTGACAATTTAGGTAATTTTGAACGGATACTTTTCAGTAGTCTGATTAGATTGCCTCTTCCAGTGCGGGTTCTTGCTATCTGAGCTGTACGGAAAATGCTAGCTCGAGGGTTTCCAAAGGAAATCAAAGAATCAGTTTTTTCTTACTAAACGCTAACAATGGTTTATTGAACATTCTTGGTAGGGAAATTAAATGCAAGCAAAGAATATACAGTAAGTTATCAACAAGTTATACTGAAATGAAATGAAAGAAATTATATACAGAGCTTTGGAATGATAGGGAGTGAAATTATTGAGTGTCCTGTATAGGGCATTCCTTGATGGTACAAGTTACATGAGAAATTAAAGAATAAAAGGTACAGAAAATAAAGACTAGGTTATGATTCTTAGTGGCTAAAAGTCACAGGCGTCCTCGACAAGGGAACGACAAAACGGCCTTGTTATTCAGGATAAAATACATGTTGGAAGCTAACCCAATGGTTTTGTTCTTTACACAGGGTAGAAAATAAATAATAGACAGAAAACAACAATCATGATGAATAAATTAAAATACTTGAAATTGAAACATTACCTACCTATAAGGTCTCGGAAAGAGAGTCATAGCAGAAAGACGTCAACACTAAACACCAAAACTTCGTTACAGAACTGAATGAATCTAGGAGATTCACAGGCTTGATGACGCTTTTGGGATTCTTATCGGTCGCAAAACATGCGGTTTGTTCATGGAACTAGGAGTCGGGAATCGTATTTTAAGACACCATCAGGACACTGTTTCGGGGTCCTACTGATAACCCTTGGCTCTTGACACGTTTTCGTCAGAAATTTAGCGACCTAATCTCGCTGGGAAAAACCCAATTAATTGTATTACGAAGCGAAAAAAAAAAGGACTTTTAGGCCGTTTTGTTACATACTTAATAGTATCGGTTTAATAGAAAATTTGATACAAATGGTAGCAAGTTCCCAGCAATGCCTAATTAATGTAATTTATGCAGGAGATGGGTGTGGCACACTTTATCGAAATCGAGACATATATCACATCCACTTGCTTGTTATTGTCAAAGTCGCTTATTGTCCAGTCGTCCAAGCATAGTGTGAGATTGATTCTAGTAGAACGGCCATGTTGGTGCTTCAGTAATGGATTTTGCTCCAGTAAAAATAGGGTTAACTGTTTCACTACAATTTTTTCCATACACTTATATAAATTGCATGTCAAACTTATTGGACGATAGTTCCATGGAGCGGTTTTTCGTATATTGAAATCAACAACCGATGTTGACCAAGTCTCAGTAGGAAAGTTGTAAGTTTCAAAAATACTTTTCATGAGATCAGACAAAGGTTTGGCTCAGGATGGCTGCACAATTCACAAGTCAATATTTGATATCTGTGAAGTTGCACTTATAGGTATTCCGAAATTAGTGATATTGTTTCCTTTGGTGAATACCTTTTCAAATTGGTTTGCACGGTATTCAAACTCAAACATCTTTATTTTAAAATTATTCAGGTGTACATTACAGGCAGGAGGGATATAGGCCCCTCTCCAAATTACAAATATAGGACATTTACTTAATACTAGGACAGGACTTCTTAAACTAAATTTTGCAACGTGCGCAGCACGCTGTGCTCACACACTCGCCTGACGAGCGTTGTGGGCGTTTGTTGGGTGGGCGATGTTGTTGACCGTAAACCCCTGTTCGTGCGCACTAGGTCATTACACTGGCCTGCCTCGATAATAAGGGTGGAATCCTTGGAGTTGGAGTTATAGAACAGCCCTGCACCCTGACCAATCCTGAGACCGGATGAGTCTCTAGGTAATGGTTTTGGTGCAGGTGGGGAGGTTTGTAAGGGATGTCAGAGAATGAGGGTTGGGAGGATTGGGTGCAAGAATTTAGCGGGGTTGGGACATGCATTTTTCAGCTAAACTGTGCATATATATGTTTGTTGGTCAGATTGGGGTGTCTGATGTTTAATTAGACAAGAGTGGTTTCCTCATAGTCAGCGAAAGAGGAGTTTGTCACACACTAAATCGCTGACTAGTTGGAATTTTCCGAAGAACTAAGGGTAGAAATTAGACCTTGATGGGATTGCCAGAGTCTTCTGCTTTATTATCTAATTTTGCCTTGATGTTTAGATTTTAGCTGTGCATTGGAGAGGATTTTTGTTTGGGTTAGTATGATTAGCAGGATTGAGATGGGTAGGTGTTCATGGGGGTTCAAAATAGATTGGTAAATTCTTGTATGGTGGACCGTGAACTATGGGGTTGTCTGGATCATATCTAGTTGCAGTCATTCTGCGTGTTAGAGGAGAGCCTTGAACTTGATGCCTATAGAATTTTTTTGCTCAGCTAGAAAACTATTGATTTTTTCATAGTCGGCACTAAAGAAGTTGCGTTTTAATATGGTTTCCGTAGGACTCAGTTCACATTTTGGTTGACTTTTTCCAATTATGGTTGCTCTATTCTATGGGTGGCTTGGGTTCCAAGTTATATACTTAGCAGTTTCTTATCATTGGTGACTGGATCAAGTAGAGAAACTTGGTCATTTAGGAAACGTGTTGGAAAATCAACCATTTGGTAAACATTAATTTCAAGGTAGTTGTCCAAAAAAAGTTGATTTTGTTTGTCTGGGTTGGACAAATTAAGATTCTTCCAATCTATATGCCGATAGTTGAAATCCTCCATAATATAAACATTTTCATTTATGTTTTTTTGACAGTATTATTACAATTTAATTTTTATTTTCTAGCAACCAAATTACTATATGACTCCGCCATCTCAGCACAGCGACCACTTGCTACCCGATAACTTTCCGACGCCGTCACCGGAAAGTCCCGGTCACTGGTCGTCCAGTTCGCCGAGATCCTGCAATTCCGATTGGTCGGAAAACGTGGCCAGTCCGAATACGGGCACTTACATGGCACCGTCCACGATCGGCGGACATCAGACCAACAAAGGTTCCGATGCCATCTACATTTGATGAAAAGTGTTAAGTTGGACGTTTTTTTTTTTTTTTAGTTTTTATTGGGGTGGCAAAATGTTGTTGGACAGTTTTTTTTATATGATATAAATAGTGTTTTAGAAGAATTATATTTAAATATGTGATGTGATTAAAGCAAATTTTGTTGAAAATGTTATTTAAGAAGTGACTCTATTATCTTAAATGGCGCGTTTATTTCAATAATGGTCTCATTTTTTTTTTTTAAATTTTGTAATTATATTTATACGGAAAAAAAATCATGACAAAACTTAAGACTAATTTTTCAAGTGAAAAGCAAATATGTATGAAGTAATAAGAATGTGCCTTTTCGTAACAATCGTAAGAAAATTAAGATAAAGATGATACTTTAATTGTTTAGATATTTTTTGTACATAAATTAGGTTAATTTATTTTTATAAGACTATACATAGTTTTGAAGAAAAACCACCCTCAATGTATTTTTTCTTGGAAGAATTTTTTTAATTTTGGCTTTTATGCAAATTTCAAAATTTCCTTTTATTACAACACAACAGAGATAAATTATTGGTGGTTTGATTTCAAAAACGCAAAAGGGAGAAAATTCAATAATTCATTTATTTTAAAAGCATTTCACTAAGACCCGGTTTATTTATTTTCAGATAAACTTGCGGGTAACAATATCTGCAAGATAAATTTACCGTTTTATAAATCTAAATGTAATTTGCTATTTTCTTTAGGAGCAGAAATATTTATAATAAGACTCGATTACATTTAAATAAATTATACCAGCCACAAAGAAAAACAATATGGCTATTTCAAAATCAACTGATCACCACCAGCAGAACATGGACTGACTCATCCTTTTCTTGCTGATAACACCCAACCCTATTCGTCATCCGTCTTTTATTTTTTACATAAGATTCTCATAAATGAATTATCAAAATTCTTCCTTTTGGCCCTTTATTTCTTAATTATTGTAAAAACAATGACATATTGATCAAATCAAATATTTTTCTACTAATAATTTTTTCAATAAAGAACAATTAATTAGTACTTGAGTTTAGTAGCAACGTCTGTGATGCGAATTTCTAACAGCTTAATACAAAATACAGTGGGATTTTTTGAGGCTTTAATTAATTTTTTTCAAAAAATCGCAATCCATATAAACGCACATTCCAGCATTTAATTTTTTTTTTTTTTTTTGAGGAATCATTTTGTCTTTCATTTTTTTTTTGTTTATACTTTATTGATTTAGAAAAAAATCGCATATTATATATTTTTTTTATAGGTACTATATTGTAGATAAAATCGATTTTTTTTTGTAGAAAAAATCCAATTGATGTAAGCTCTGTTCCGACCGACATGAGAACCGTTCTAGAACGGTAATTTTCAGTCAACGTTCAACTTATTGAAAAATAGGTGGGCAACTGGAAATTACTGGTTCTGGAACGATTCTTATGTCAGTTGAAACAGAGCTGTATTCTCACAATTTGGTGCTTGGTAGAAGACATCAATTGATTTTTTTTCAATTGAATAATGTCCTATTTTTGTATAAAGTACTGATTAGAGTCTATAGTTAGTTTTTAATTAGGTTTCTCGTTGACGGTTAAAACCCCTAGAGGGGTTTCGCCCACCTTTTTTTTAATATTAGTCAAAACAAATAAATAAACGATGCTTTGTACTATATTATTTTAAATAAAGACATTTTTATAGTAAGTTTTGTTTAGTGCATTATTTTTGGCATCTTATGCCCTTTTTCAAATTGAAAATGTGATTTTTATTTCACATCCCAGGTTGTGATTGTTGAGAAGTGAGTTAATTTAAAGACACTAAAGCATAAATTAGGGTGGGAAAACTGTTTTGACAGTTAAGTTGAAGTTAACTTTTTGAATTACATGTAATTCCAGAAGTTAACTTTAAGTTAACTCTCAAAGTAGTTTTATAATACCCGCCCTTAGTGTTTTTTCAAATCTATGAAAGTGGTAGCAGGTTTAGCAGTTTTTTGGTTTTAAAAAAATAGACTCCATCCTGTTTTGTAGGGTTTCAAATGAAGACCACTTCCCTTTCTACCTAATGCTACAAGGTCTGTTCCGACCCACCAAAAAATCGTCCCAAGAAGCAAGAACATTTTTTCAATCACTCTGTATACCAATTTCAGATTCTACACACAAATTTTACGTTTTGCGCAGAATCCTGAAGATGCAATGTGTACCGGTTCCCTGCTGGGTTAGAACAAAGCTAAGTCTCCATTTTTTGACTGTGTTCTTTTTGTTCTTGCAACTTTTCATTGGCAGCTTTAGTGTCATTCAATGCTTTTGCTATACCAGCAGCACCCCCACCCAGCGCTCCTAAAGCAGATAATCCACCAAATGATGGAATAAGCGGGAAAGTGGTATATAATACCTCTTATTTAAGGAATAGGAATAATTCTTTTTGGTTGCTTTATATCTGAATTTTAGATATAAATAATCCTTTGCAGCAGTTTGTAAGTTTTTATATTTTTGCCCACTGGTCCCCCCTTTCAATTCTAAGTGCAAAAAGTTGAAAATAAATTGTCTTTGTTGATTTTCTGTTTCGCTCTTTATCTTGTCGTTTGACACCCATCCAACAGCTAAATTAGATAAGGGGACACTGATAAACTGGTACTAGTCCTGCACTGGCCTTACATAATTGTTGCATAAATAACTATTATGCAACATTACGACAACTGTGTAAAGTGAAGATTACGCACATGTTACATACAATTTTTTTTCTACTGCCTACTGATGACAATATATGATCATAAATTAAAAAAATATATGTACAGGGTGTCCAGAATAACTTGAAGTATACCTACATGGGGTACGTTCAAGGACAGCAATGCTAATGCCAAAACCTACTTTTCCCCCTCCACCTGTAATGTCGAACCACGTAGGTTGGAGCCGAACTCGAACGCAAAATGCCAATTTTGACTTGGCTGTAGCCATTCCTGAACGCAGCTATGGGGATTTTGAAAACCATTGTAGATACAGGGTGGATCGAATAAGGAAAAAGTTGCGCCTACGAAAAATATGTCATCAACTTCTTTAAACTTGGAACAGCATAACGTATATACAGAGCGAAAAAAAGTGCGTTTTATAAAATCCTTCATAACTTGTTTATTATAAAAAATACAATCAAGAAATTTCCTGGGTAGGGATCAGAGCTGTCACAAGTACATTACTAAAGTACCTACTTGGAGTATGAGTACAAAGTACCTACTTATAAATATAAAATATAACAATTTTCTCCTTTATCTTTTTTCTTGGAATTTTTATCAAAAATTAACAACAACCCAACAAGCAGCCTCTGTCTGTGTTACTTTAAATATCTATTAAAATATAAAGTTCTTCAAGTCGAGCTTCAAAGTACACTTTTGAAGTACCTACTTTTCAATTTGCCTAAATTTCCTCTTTATTTCGGAATTTCTCTGGTTCAACTTTTATCTATTCCTGGCTCTTGAATTCTTATATTCGCCTAAACTCTAAACTTCATTAAACAAAAACAAAGGATATCTCTACCTATATCTATTTGAAAAATTAAGAAAATACGAGTGCCCGGAATAGAAATAGCAAGTAAAATTGTCTGACTCTTCTCAGTTTGCCTAAAATTTCTTCTTTGTTTCTCAATTTTTCTATTTGTGCCTTATGACAATTTGCATTATGCTGCGGCCCCCCAGATGACAGGGTTGGCATAGAATTTCCCCAGGTTATAAAACCCAGTGGGGTTTTTTGGGTTTTTTCAATTGATAAAACCCATCATTATTGGGTTTTTTTGGGTTTTGTCAAAATTTTCTGTTGAACAAGCGTCATTTGCACTGGAAATATTAGGGATTCTCCTATGATTCCCTCGAGGATGTTGGCGTGAAGGTCTGAGCAGGGACTCCTGCGCCATTTAGAATTCAACATATCAAATGTGCTGGAGCCTATAGAATCCTGTCGATATGTTGAATTCCACATGTCACGGAGTCACTATGGGCTGGCTAGCCAGAGGCGTGGTGCAGTGCGCCGATGTTAAGTGTAAATTTATAGCATTGAAAAAAACGAAAACCTCCGGAATGCCCGAAAAAAAACCTAAAAACCCCATAAAAATTCAAAAAAACCCGAAGGGTTGGACTACTTTTTCAAAAAACCCGGGTTTTTTCCAACCCTGCCAGATGACATCATAAAGTTATCAGGCAACCTACCTCTCTCAAACAACCTTGATCCCTACCCACCTATTTAAAAAAAAAACATGAGTGTATAGTGCATGCCTAGAATAGAAACGCAATGAAAAATTGTCTGACAATTCTTTACGATTTGCCTTAAATTTCCTCTATACTCCTCAATTTCTCTGTTTCAACTTTTGTCTATTCCTGGCTCTTGAATTCCTATATATTCGTCTAAACTTTAAATAAGGGATATACAAGGGGCAAACCACCTAGGAATTCTTTGCCAAAAATGTGGGAAATTTAGCTGAATTTGTGGGAAATTTGAAGGAACTCATCGGAACTTATGAGAATTTGGGGAATTTATAGGGAATTTGGAGGAATTTATGGGGAATTTGTGAGGAATTTAAAGGAAATTGTATGGAAGGGTCATGACGTCACTGAGGTTCACATTCTTAGTATAAGAAATAGTGATAAATGGAAATTAAAAAAAAAAATCTAGTTTTGTGTTGGACGTTGGATATTAAATTACACTACATATGATTTACAGGTCCAAATTTAAAAAATTCAAAAGAATAAGGAATACAGTTTTTGTAGGCTGATTTCCAAAAATTTCCATGTTGTTATTGTGAGTTTCTCACCTTCCTCTTTACATGCATATTTTCAATTAATTCAGTTTTTATAGGTTGATTTCCAAGATTTTTCATGTTGTTATTTTCAACTGGAAAAAATTGAAATTTTGAGAAAATGAGCTTCTCACCTTCTTCTTTATACATGCAAAAAGTTTCTCTTCACTAGATTTCTAGGAAAACTTTGAAATGTGTGAGACTGTATTTTCAACTAATTCAGTTTTTGTAGGTTGATTTCCAAGATTTTTCTTGTTACTGTTTTTCACTGAGAAAATTTGAAATTTTGGGAAAATAAGCTTTTCAGCTTCCTCTTTACATGCAAAAAGTTTCAAAATTTTCCCCTCACTAGTTTTCCAAGAAAACTTTGGAATGTGTAAGACTGTATTTTCAATTAATTCATTTTTTATAGGTTGATTTCCAAGATTTTTCATGTTATTTTCTACTGGAAAAATTTGAAATTTTGGGAAAATGAGCTTCTCACCTTCTTCTTTACATGCAAAAAGTTTCTCTTCACTAGATTTCTAGGAAAACTTTGAAATGTGTGAGACTGTATTTTCAACTAATTCAGTTTTTGTAGGTTGATTTCCAAGATTTTTCTTGTTACTGTTTTTCACTGAGAAAATTTGAAATTTTGGGAAAATAAGCTTTTCAGCTTCCTCTTTACATGCAAAAAGTTTCAAAATTTTCCCCTCACTAGTTTTCCAAGAAAACTTTGGAATGTGTAAGACTGTATTTTCAATTAATTCATTTTTTATAGGTTGATTTCCAAGATTTTTCATGTTATTTTCTACTGGAAAAATTTGAAATTTTGGGAAAATGAGCTTCTCACCTTCTTCTTTACATGCAAAAAGTTTCTCTTCACTAGATTTCTAGGAAAACTTTGAAATGTGTGAGACTGTATTTTCAACTAATTCAGTTTTTGTAGGTTGATTTCCAAGATTTTTCTTGTTACTGTTTTTCACTGAGAAAATTTGAAATTTTGGGAAAATAAGCTTTTCAGCTTCCTCTTTACATGCAAAAAGTTTCAAAATTTTCCCCTCACTAGTTTTCCAAGAAAACTTTGGAATGTGTAAGACTGTATTTTCAATTAATTCAGTTTTTATAGGTTGATTTTTAAGATTTTTCATGTTATTTTCTACTGGAAAAATTTGAAATTTTGGGAAAATGAGCTTCTCACCTTCCTCTTTACATGCAATACTCCTCATATGTTATTTTCCACTGGAAAAATTCGAAACTTTGGGAAAATGAGCTTGTCACCTTTCTCTTTACATGCAAAAAGGTTCAAAATTTTCCCTTCACTAAATTTCTAGGAAAACTTTGAAATGTGTGAGACTGTATTTTCAACTAATTCAGTTTTCGTAGATTGATTTCCAAGATTTTTCATGTTGCTGTTTTCCACTGGAAAATTTTGAAATTTTAAGAAAATGAGCTTCTCACCTTACATGGCGATTTTGGTTATCATTGAAGATACAGGGTGGACAAAAAAGGGGAGAAAGTTAAGCAGTCAAGTGCCTACAAATAATCTGTCATCGACTTCTTTGAACTCAGAATAGCATAGCGGAAACCTATACAGGGCAAAAAAAAAAAGATGTTTTATAAAATCCTTTATAACTTGTTTATTATAGAAAATACAAGTAAGAAATGTTTTTGGGTCTGGATGTAATGTATTTACTCGTGTATTAATGTAATGTACCATACAGGATACAAGGTGTCAAATTATAAAGTAGGTACGACCCCTTATAATTTTTCTATTTTTGATTGGTACATAAAAAAATTACAAGTAGTTGTATATATATATATATATGTTGCACCCATACCTATCTCACCTGTTTGAAGAGATACCTACCCAGAAATGTCAAATGTGAAAGGTGAAAGTTATAGGTAGATCAGAAAGTTTTCAATAGACCTTTTCGGAAAAAGTGATCCGATTAATCTGATCACCAGCTGCTGGTCGTTTATCTTCCTTCATTGAATACGATTGAAAAAAGACCAAGAATATCACCTGGTGATCCGATTAATCGGAACAGCGTTTCCGAAAAGGCCTTAATGATTAGTTACAAGTATACAGGGTGTGTCACAAAAGTGTGGAGAAGCAAAATTATACTTTTTTAAATGGAAAACCCTATATATTATTGTCCCATTGGATTAGCCTTTCAAACCTGATTCCAAATACACTAGGTTTTAGGTTTATTCTTTATAGTCCAGCCTCTGAATATCTCATTTTAGAGAAATAAAATGGATGTTTTAATATATGATGATTACCTTTATATTTTGCTGGTGGTTTCTACTATACTTCATCACCTTTTTTAATAAAATATGCAATTATTCCACCCATTTTCATCCTATTTTCTCCTGGACTATATGGAATAAACCTAAAAAACTTGGTATATTTGGAATCAGATTTGAAAGGCTAATCTAATGGGACAATAATATACGGGGTTTTCCATTCAAAAAAGCATAACTTTGCTTCGCCACACTTTTGTGATACACCCTGTATACTTTGTAACTTCATCATTGAAAACTTTCTGATATTACCTACCTACAACTTTTACATTTCATATTTCTGGGTATCTCTTCAAATAGGTGTGACTACTTTATAATTTAACACCTGATACAACGATTCTAGAAAACGCTTTTTTTTTTCTTTTCTGCCCTGATATACCCATTGTTATTCTGAATTCAAAGTTGATGACAGATTATTCGATAACGCAAATTTTTCCCTATTTAAGTCCACCCAGTATCTTCAATGGTTTTCATAGTATCCCTGTACTTCAAGTTATTTAGAACGCTCTGTATGTATATTACAACTTTACGGCCTAGTCTGTAATAGTTATTTGTATTACTAGTACGGTATGAGCTTCATTACAGTAACGAGTGGGGAATATTGCCCAGACGAGGTCGTAGACCGAGTTGTGGTAATTACACGAGTGGTGTAATGAGCGTTACCGTACGTGTGATATACAACATTTTATGTACGACCCAGATTTTTTTCATATATTCGAAATGGTTTTAATTTTTCACAAAAGATTATACCTATTTATAATTTTTGATAAATGAATTTTAAAAAGTGCCGCACGCCTCCCGGAAAAGCACTAGTGCCGAAAAGTGATACTTTCATGACCTAAAATGCGTGCGGAAAAGTACACTTTTCCGGACGCTCGTAGAAAATAGTTATTTTCCTAACAAGTTCGCAAAGTGTTACTTTTACTTTTACTTTTACTTTTACTGTTACTTTTACGTATCCGAACTCCGCTTCGCGTCGTTCGTATAATTCGAAACTTTGGGAAAATGAGCTTGTCACCTTTCTCTTTACATGCAAAAAGGTTCAAAATTTTCCCTTCACTAAATTTCTAGGAAAACTTTGAAATGTGTGAGACTGTATTTTCAACTAATTCAGTTTTCGTAGATTGATTTCCAAGATTTTTCATGTTGCTGTTTTCCACTGGAAAATTTTGAAATTTTAAGAAAATGAGCTTCTCACCTTACATGGCGATTTTGGTTATCATTGAAGATACAGGGTGGACAAAAAAGGGGAGAAAGTTAAGCAGTCAAGTGCCTACAAATAATCTGTCATCGACTTCTTTGAACTCAGAATAGCATAGCGGAAACCTATACAGGGCAAAAAAAAAAAGATGTTTTATAAAATCCTTTATAACTTGTTTATTATAGAAAATACAAGTAAGAAATGTTTTTGGGTCTGGATGTAATGTATTTACTCGTGTATTAATGTAATGTACCATACAGGATACAAGGTGTCAAATTATAAAGTAGGTACGACCCCTTATAATTTTTCTATTTTTGATTGGTACATAAAAAAATTACAAGTAGTTGTACCGGGTGATTGTCTATATGTTGCACCCATACCTATCTCACCTGTTTGAAGAGATACCTACCCAGAAATGTCAAATGTGAAAGGTGAAAGTTATAGGTAGATCAGAAAGTTTTCAATAGACCTTTTCGGAAAAAGTGATCCGATTAATCTGATCACCAGCTGCTGGTCGTTTATCTTCCTTCATTGAATACGATTGAAAAAAGACCAAGAATATCACCTGGTGATCCGATTAATCGGAACAGCGTTTCCGAAAAGGCCTTAATGATTAGTTACAAGTATACAGGGTGTGTCACAAAAGTGTGGAGAAGCAAAATTATACTTTTTTAAATGGAAAACCCTATATATTATTGTCCCATTGGATTAGCCTTTCAAACCTGATTCCAAATACACTAGGTTTTAGGTTTATTCTTTATAGTCCAGCCTCTGAATATCTCATTTTAGAGAAATAAAATGGATGTTTTAATATATGATGATTACCTTTATATTTTGCTGGTGGTTTCTACTATACTTCATCACCTTTTTTAATAAAATATGCAATTATTCCACCCATTTTCATCCTATTTTCTCCTGGACTATATGGAATAAACCTAAAAAACTTGGTATATTTGGAATCAGATTTGAAAGGCTAATCTAATGGGACAATAATATACGGGGTTTTCCATTCAAAAAAGCATAACTTTGCTTCGCCACACTTTTGTGATACACCCTGTATACTTTGTAACTTCATCATTGAAAACTTTCTGATATTACCTACCTACAACTTTTACATTTCATATTTCTGGGTATCTCTTCAAATAGGTGTGACTACTTTATAATTTAACACCTGATACAACGATTCTAGAAAACGCTTTTTTTTTTCTTTTCTGCCCTGATATACCCATTGTTATTCTGAATTCAAAGTTGATGACAGATTATTCGATAACGCAAATTTTTCCCTATTTAAGTCCACCCAGTATCTTCAATGGTTTTCATAGTATCCCTGTACTTCAAGTTATTTAGAACGCTCTGTATGTATATTACAACTTTACGGCCTAGTCTGTAATAGTTATTTGTATTACTAGTACGGTATGAGCTTCATTACAGTAACGAGTGGGGAATATTGCCCAGACGAGGTCGTAGACCGAGTTGTGGTAATTACACGAGTGGTGTAATGAGCGTTACCGTACGTGTGATATACAACATTTTATGTACGACCCAGATTTTTTTCATATATTCGAAATGGTTTTAATTTTTCACAAAAGATTATACCTATTTATAATTTTTGATAAATGAATTTTAAAAAGTGCCGCACGCCTCCCGGAAAAGCACTAGTGCCGAAAAGTGATACTTTCATGACCTAAAATGCGTGCGGAAAAGTACACTTTTCCGGACGCTCGTAGAAAATAGTTATTTTCCTAACAAGTTCGCAAAGTGTTACTTTTACTTTTACTTTTACTTTTACTGTTACTTTTACGTATCCGAACTCCGCTTCGCGTCGTTCGTATAACTGTGTTTGCGTGCGGAAAAGACACTTTGCGCACGTGTTAGGAACAACATTTTTCCTACGAGCTTCATATCAGGTAAGTAATAACAAAAATTTAAAAAAAAAATCGATAATTTGTTTAATTATTTTTAATTAACTTGAAGAAAACCTATGCATTTATCAAAAAATTACATAACAAAAAAAAATAACAGAAAATCCTCGTCAGAGCTGTTCATCTTAAAGCGTTTAAATTTGATGAGAAAAGTTTCTAGATTTTTGCATATAAATAGAGAACAAATCTGACAATGTGTCAAAGTTAATTTATATTTGGTGTTTGTATAGATGTTGGCTGACATAGAAATAGAGGAAAAATTTGTCATCATGTGTCAAAGTCGACAGGTGCACTTATTGTTGCTTGACAATTATAATTACTTTTCGGCACTCAGTGCGGATAAGCCTGTATCCGCACTGAGTGCGGAAAAGTGTAACTTTGAGCCCGGAAATGCGTGCGGAAAAGTACTACTTTGCGCACGCTCGTAGGAAAAATATATTATGCAGGAACGCACGATAGTAGAAATTAGATAACATTTTCTTTCAAGCATACTTGTGACGTAATATGAAGGTATATTAAGTGTGCAAAAAAATATGTTTATCCTTTTTTTATCGCATGAGAAAAAAAGAGATAGAGATACTCTGCAAAAATTGTCGCGGATACAATAAAAAATTAAGAGGTTATGTATAGTTTATGTTTATAAGTTGAATTTGGAAATGGATTTGGAAAGCGAAGCCCTATCAGACTTGTGCGGGCTGCCAACGGAACCCCCAGAAATGCGCCTCACCTGCGACAAATGCCAGTAAGTCTATATTGTTTTTCACCGCCTCAAAATTATCTGGGGTCATTTTCAGACGTCCCAAGATTGTTTGTTATTGCGGCTCGATTCCCAATCCGCCCCTGAGCCCCAAAAGCCGAATAATCCTCCTGCAACACCCCGCCGAAGAGAAAAGGTGCCTTAGAACAGCCCCCATGCTTCAGTTGGGGCTCGCTGAAGGAAAGTGCCTTGTTTATAAAGGAAAACGATTTCCTGGCCTTCACGACGATCTAATTAATGTTTTAGAAGCTTCTAATACCTTACTGCTTTTTCCTAGTCCGCAGGCTGTTGATATAAGCCATATAACACCTAACAAGAATTATAATATTGTTATAATTGATGGGACTTGGCCTCAAGCTAAAGCCATTTACACTAGCAGCCCAATTTTGCACAAGATAAAACAAATTAAACTATTAAATACTTGTACAAGTAATTATATTATAAGGACCCAGCCTGCAGATGGATGTTTAAGTACTTTGGAAACTGGGGCCCAATGTTTAGCACTTCTAGAAGAAAACCAGTCATTTAATGAGAAATTATTGGAACCATTAAAAATGATGTGCCAATTTCAGTTGGAAAATGGTGCAGTATCCCACCAAAGCAAAGAATTTTTAATTAAAAATAATTCTTATCCAAAATTAATAGGAAAAAGATTAAATAAGGTACTGAAAAATGCAGAAAGATTAAAAAATTAATGTATTAAACAATATGTTGAAATATGCCTTGAGTTATCAATTCCTCACACTCGCTCCTTGGTAAATAGTGCCTGCTATCCTTCTTCAATAAAATAACAGTACCATCAGACAATTCGTATTTACCATAGTCCACCAAGCATCTAACTTCAATGTAGAGGGCTTTTGGTGGTCTCAAATTGAGCCCCAAATTCAAACCGTCTTCGCCAATAGACATCATATAGTTAGCCAAACTGCTTGAATATTTTGAGAACCATTCTGTTTCCAATGGGCTCAAATTGGTTTTAATTTCTGCTGGCAGGACGCTACCAAACTCCCATCTCATTGTACGTAAAGTTCTCAGGCGGTTATAATGGTAGGCTAGTAAACAGCGGACATTTCTTTTGGTTGCTGCTACTCCTACACGTAACGTAGGGTACTGGACACTGTTGTGATTTGCTATACCACTTTCGTTAGCTACAATTGCCCTGAATTGGGGTCGTTTTATTATTTCTGGTATAGACAACTTGCTTACCCATCGATTCTGTTTTGGTCGTGCAGCTGCTTGATTTCGGAGCAAACTTCTTTAACCAAATCATTCTAGAAATAATTTTTGGTTGATGGTAAATTAGATTAAGGGGGTGCATTTTACTTACGTTGTATGGTGGTAAGTTTTCTTCGCATCTGGATAATTCTTTTATCAAATTGCAAGCTTTTTCAGCATACATTATAAATTATGTTTATTTGTTTATATTTCTAACCTATAAACTTTAAATTGCCGCCAAAAAAAGCACAACGTTGATTTGATTGACCGGATCTCTCTGCTGATGTCTTTTGTCTTTTTTCAATCGTGTTCATTAAAGAAAGATAAAAAGCAATTGGCAACGGCAACGTCGCAATTCTTCATTAATCGTTTGTCAATTGTCAAAAAAAAAAAAAACGATCAGCGGCTGTCAAATTTAAAATCTTAAAAAATTATCCATAATTAACAAAATATCCTTTAAATTCCTTAATAATATTCAATTTCTAAATAGAATTTATGTGTTTCGTGTACGATATCCTTTGTAGACAGGTAAGCGATATAATTTTATCACTAATTTCAATTTTCAAATAGTTGTGTTTTTTTTTATATTTATGGAATTTGATTTTTTGCTTTTTTACATACCCACAAAAAACTACACATATTTATACATTGCTGATATTTGAAACACAGGTGACCACGTTTTGAAGAAGTTCTACTATAGTAAACCAACATTTAATTATTGACTTCATGTAGAAAATGAGCAAAGATACCCTCGATCTTTCTGGCTCTCAGAGTCCCAGGAATAACCCATTTGAAAATCAAATAGAATTCACTAATATATCCTTCAAAGGTAAATAGATATTAATTCAATCTATTAGACTGAAAAATTCTTAATTTAGATGATGTTGGGCCGAGTGTGGGGTCATCCTTAGCTGCGTTAAACGATGAAGAGTTTTTTCCTAGAGAATCCTTAGGCATAGTACCCAATGCACTATTACTAAGAGACTCTCTTACCAATGATTTTCTGGTTTCAAGTCTTAAAAACTTATCAGGATGCAGTCCCAGAGAGTCACTGGGTATTTTGAATCTAAGCGACTTGGATTTAGCCGGAGAATCGATTGGCATTTTTAACATAAACAATTACAAAAGAGATTTAAATGGAACTGAAGCAAGAGATAGCTTGCCATTCAATACTCTACAAACCACTGTGATTTCCGCTCAAACGCCTCAAATAATAGTAAATGACACTGCACAAAGTTTTGATTCTATTGCAGAGCTTGATAAAGCTTTTCTATTGCCAAATTCAAAAAGATTTTCGTGCGTTTCTTCAAATGGATCGTCAGTGGCTTCTACAATTCCATCTTTTAATTCTCTGGATTTTGAAGAAGTTTCGAAAATATCTTCAATTAGTCCAGCTATCAAGGTAAGAAAAATTAACTAATTGTATTATAGTGGATAGAGAATTAGATTTTTGGTTTTTGATGTTTGTATTTTTGCTATATAATTTTTATGTATTATTAAGACCCAAGGGCAAACCACTCCTTTAAAAAATGTACACGTATTGCGGAAATCCTATGATTTCTTGGCAATCACTGCGATTTCCAGGGCTGCCGTGATAATTTAGGGGATTTCAAAGATTGCCATGAAAATCGAAATGATTTCCAAGATTTCTGAAATAATCGCAATGATTTCCAAGATTGCGAGACTGCAAAATGATTATTGCAGGACTGCGGAAGGGATTTCGAAAAAAACATACTTGAACAAATTGAAACTAGTAAAACTGCTTAATTTTTATTTAAAACCACAAATTATTATTTTTTTTTTTCGACGGTTAGTATATCATCATCCGGGCTAAACATATTCATCAAGTTCAGACTTCAGAAATTTTATTTCTGATTCAAAATTTCTAAAACACGTCAATATACCAAGTGTCATAAATAACCACATAGTAGTTTTCACAAACAAAGACAGAAATTGTATCTTTTTGAACTTGTGAAACTTGGTAACTCTTCATCTTCTGTAAGTTCTTCTAAGCCACTTGAAGACCTATCTGCATAGCTTCAATCAGGCTCGTCTTCAGAGGAAGAAATGTCAAAATCTTTATTATTTACCAATTTTTTTCTAGTTTGACCTTTATACTCTTCCCTGCATTCCTTGAAATCTTTTTGAATTTTTCTCCTTTACCACTCATTCCTCTGCACTGTATTCATCTGTCGGATGAGAGTTTTTCCTTTTTGTCAAAAAATAGCCAACATAAAGTAGATTTTTCAACTATCATATTTTTGATGTTTACTGTGATGCTAAGTCGAGAATTATGAGATTGTGTCTTTATCAAATCAAATCAAATCAAATCAAAATATGCTTTATTGTTTAAAGATACAAATCTTGATAACAAAGCTTCCAAATATAATATAATTAAAATTGAAATCATCAACAAAGTAGGTACGTAAAAATAAAGATAATAAACAGGAATAAAAACAACTGGATAAAATAGATCGAAAGACTGCTCAACATTAAAATTAAAAACAAACTTAAAATTAAAACTTAAAATTATTGACCATTAAACAGATGAGATGAGAAGTATTCCTCTACAGAGTAAAAACCCTTAGCCAGAAGTAATTTTTTGACTTGTCTCTTGAAACATCTACTCTCCTTTATTGTTCTTATGCTATGAGGTAGGTGATTAAACATTTTCTTACTCCTATAGTGAATAGATTTTTGTGTTAGCGAGGATGTGAGAATTGGTAGATCAATTACATGTGAACTTTTGGTATTGACCAAGGAGGGAGCATGAATATTAGAGGAGTACTTCTTCTGCATGAGACACACCGATTCTAAAATCAAGATACAAGGCAAGGTTAAAATACGTCTGTCTATAAAGAATGGTCTGCAAGAGTTCCGTGGACTAAGACCACATAACGACCTTATAGCACGCTTCTGAAGAAGAAATATGACGTTGAACAATGTTAATGAGCAAGAACCCTAGAAGCAAATGCCATAACTAAGATGTGACTCGATCAAAGAAAAATACACCCGTCTAGCAACCGATTCGCCCAGCTCAGCCTTAACAGTTCTAACAGCAAAGCATGCTGATGATATTTTTTTACATAAATCCTCAGTGTGTTTGTCAAACCTGAGCTGATCATCAACAATTAAGCCAAGATATTTGGTCTGCATGCTTCTGCCTATAATAGTATCATCTAGAAAAACATTACCAATATTACATTTAAAATTCATGATGGATGTCTTTTGAATATTAAATGACAGCCGATTGGAGTCATACCACATTTTGATTCTCGCTAAGTCATCGTTCACCATAGCATTCAGCATGACAGTGTCTTTATGATGCTAAACTATTGTGGTATCATCAGCAAAGGAAGTGCATAGACCACTCTTCACAGCTGCAGGAAGATCATTAACATATAGTAAAAACAACAATGGCCCCAAAACAGACCCTTGCGGAACGCCGGAGCTAACACTTAGGCTACCGGAAACGCTACCCCGAGAGACAACACTCTGACTTCTCTGAGATAAATAAGAACTAAACCACCTCAGGACAACACCCCTAAAACCACAGATTTCGAGCTTGCGCAGCAGTATATCGTGACTGACGCAATTAAAAGCCTTTGTCAAGTCACAAAACACCGCCGCAGCCTTCTCACCATCATTAAGTCTGAGGTATACCTGCTCCAGAACGTTGAAAATGGCATCACTCATACTTTTCGAAGATTGGAATCCAAACTGATTGCAAGATAATAGCCCATTCTGCTCCAGGAAAACCACCATCCGCTCCTTCATGAGCTTTTCAACTATCTTGCTTAGCCTAGGGAGCAATGATATTGGGCGATAGTTAGAAGGTAACTCCTTCTCTCCTCCCTTGAAAATTGGAATCACTCTGGCTTTTTTTAAAAAGGTTGGGAAATCACCTGCTTCTACTGAATTATTAATGGCATTTGCCAAAACATTTAGGACAGGGTCCGGAAGGGCAAGAACGATTTTGATAGAAATATTATCCCAACCAGATAAGGTTTTATTTTTGATACTCAAAAATATTTTTTTTAATTCTTCTGCCGTAACTGGGTTGAAAAAGAAAGAGTTAGGAACCAAAAAACTGCTCAAGGAGGACAATGATAAAGGATCAGGGACTGTTTGTTCAGGGATGTTGCCCCACAGGTGCCCTGCAATATTGCAGTAATATGAGTTGAAGGTGTTTACGTCAATTTCAGCCGAATCATCCTGCATGGATTCTCTTCCCCTCAAGTCATTCACTATACTCCAGATCTCCCTCTGAGCATTGTTTGCAGATGATATTCTACTGTTGTAATAAGTGGTTTTTGCTAGTTTAATTGTATTTCGGTATATTGATCTATATTTATTGAAATATGTTACAAAAACTTCGTTAGTCACTGCAAATTTTCTGATGGTGTGCAGACATCGCAAGTTATTGGAAGAAATTCTTAAGCCCTCGGTAATCCATGGTTTTCTTTTTTTAGGTTTAATATTTATAATAGGAAAAGTGGCATTAAAGATATCAACAAGTGTCAGGTGAAATAAGTGCAGAGCATTGTCCCCCAGAACAACGCTCCAGTCCGTCTCAGTGCATACATCTGTGAATTGGCTGTAGTTGCGCAAAGTGTCCATTTTTTGAAGGTCTTCTTGTCCACCTTCTGTTTCTAAATCAAGTTGTTCATCAGGAATATTTGTTGAATTGGTTGAAACACCTATTGGAGGTAGAGAGATTGTTTCCAACGCCGATTTTATAAACTCGTCGGGAAGCAACATATTTGAATCTTTAGTGCAGTTTATCGCATCATGTCATGTTTTGCATTTTCCATTATAATTTTAATCTCTTCGACAGTCAGAAGGTTATTGTGGCAAGGTGGATTGGTTCCTAGTCTTTTATTTTCTTCTCTTGGATTTCTAGTACATCCCAGCTCTTCAAAATCATTAAGGAACCGATTAAAAATTTGTAAAGCTTTTGGAACACTCAAAACACCGAGGGGTCAACCACTATGCTTACAAATGTACAATGATTTTCATATTTGGCAATCACTGATAAATGAATCTCATGTTTTCCCATCCCAAGAATTGACAATGACTTTTAGATATTTTTGTTTAATTCTTTTTTTTCTGGGGATTCCTATATTATTCCCAATTGATTACCTGATTACCTTGATGATTTCCTACAATCATCCGATTTCCAGCTGATTTTATTAAAAACGATGTCTAATTGTTAAGCTTTGCATTAATATGATAAAAATAAACAGTTTTTCCTACATCCACCCCCATATGGAGTTTATGTAAAAACATGTTTCCATTTAAAAATTGGCAACTTCTGTATTTGCCAAAGGTTAGCAATTTTTATTTTCATGGTTGTCCATACCAACACCGATTTTGTTGTTAGTATAAATAGTTGTTGAGCCCTAGATACCATTGCGTGTCTACACTGCATAATATAGATCTAAAATAATGGATATTTCTTTGATTTCACTAGAATGTTCATCTGAATCAGAGACATCTTCAGTTAGGGTTTCACTCTACAAACTTATTTCTGATTCTGATTCAGATGTGCTATCGTCTCTACCTAGGTCTCTACTTTCCCTTTTCAGGATTCCTGACTTTTTCTTTTGTGTCTTTCTTAGGGACATGCTCATAGCTCTTAATACTCGATCAACAAACGTTCCTGCTTCTCTAAAAATAACAAAATTAAAGTTCAACCCTAAATAATCTTTTAATTGTAGGGAATCGCAATTGCTAAACCCTGATGTATGAATTCTGTGTCTTCTTTTGGCAAGTCGGATTCGAGAGAGATTTCAAGATTCATATTATAATTTTTGTGATCTACAACATTGTCATACTTTAAGTCTCTTCTCACAGAAATCACAGTGAATTTCATTGGTTGAAAATAGTCATAAAACTAGTTGTTGGCGGTTTGCACCAATCAAAAACGCTCTAACTGGTTTGTGATTTCTGTGAGAACAGACCTAATCTTCATCTGGTTCTTCTTCTTCTTCAAGTTCTAAACTCTTCATAGTCTCAGGTTCAGTTATTGAAAAACTCCTTGGGATATCATATTTATTTAAAATTGTCTACACCTACTCAATGTTGCCTAAAGCTTAGTCTTAAAGGCAAATATACCACTGACCGATATGCTGTATCGTTTAAAATGTATGATATATGATTTCTGGGTTAGAATGAAATGATATTCCCAGCGATTACCATACGATTCTCAGAAATTCCCATTGGATTCCTATATGATTCCCATGGAGTCTTAGGAGTTCCTAGCGATTCCCAGGGACTCCCAAGTGATTTCCATGTATTTATAATTGTGATTCCCAAAAAAATGTATAATGATTTCCACTAGTGATTTACCTACCTCTCGCAAAACACTTTTCAAATCATATGAAACTTTTGGAATATCCGAGAGAATATCTTAAAAATAGTCACAGGGCACTTTAGAATTAACTTAAAACTTCCATGAACATATTAGAACACTCTAAAACACCTCTGAACTTATTTAGAATTTTAATTAGAACTACCAAAAAGCGCCTAAGAATATTTGGGAGATTTCTGATAACTTCTAGAACATTCTAGTGCTTCAAGACCATCAAGCAACCAATTGAAAATTTTAGAAAGCATTTTGATAGGCTTCAGAATGCGCTTGTGCTTGTGCCAATTTAGAACAATTTCAAGCATTTTAAGACTCTCTACAGTACTTTAGAACAAATTTAGAACTTTGATAAGCTTCAGAAGACATTCAATTTCCAATCCTCCTTGTATAAAACAAATTGAAACTTTCAAGAACATTGTGGAACGCTACAGAACACTTTAGAATCAAATTAGAACTTCAGAAACACTCTAGAACGCACCAGAATATTTCCGAAATTTCAGGAACATGTAAAAGAACTTGACACTTTAAAGTTTAGGTTTAGATCTAAGTTAAAATACCCAGGAGTATTTGGAACACTCTAGAACACTACAAATCATACATTACTTTTTGGAAGCAATCTGAAACTGGAAACTTAATTAGAAGTATCAATAGTTTGTGTATGGCAATAAAAACCATCTGTTTTGTCCTCCTCTCTTAAATATTTTGATAGGATTTTTCAGTAAATTTTCGTAATAATTTATCTGGAAATACCTCTAGAAATACTCATGAAGAATCCATCCCAAAATCAAAGTAGTGAAAATTGTTTGCCAACCCTGTTAATGTAACAAAATTTTCAATAATTTCAAGTCTTATTTTAATTATAGAGTATAGAAGTTAGTAAGGCTACAAAAGACATTTTAAATGAAGGATTTGAATTGCCACTGGAAAATAGAAATTATTCATTTTCCTCATACAAAAGCGCCTGTTCGCACTATTCCTTTGCCAATGATGTGGAAAATATTAGAAATCGCATACAATCTCTCCCTACAAGCTTTAAAAGCCTGTCTGAAAATACTAGCTTCGACGAAGGACTGCTTTGTAGGGGGGGCAAAGATGACCTGGACATGGTAAGTTGATGTTTGAGGTTCAAAACAAAAACCTAATAAATTTTTACAGGATGATTCAGTATTTTTACAAATCATGCCTGGGATAAGTGCACAAACATCGTTGAATTTGGATAAATCCTTTGACAGTGAAAGATACATGTTGGATTGTACTCCTCAGCCTGATTGGCCAGATCTAGATTCTCCTAAAAGTAATTCTAATGAAAAATCACCAGCTTTAACTAAAGAACTTGTTGCCAAAAAGGTAATGTAAAAAATTTTGTGAATATTTTCTAATACAAATATTTAGGTGGATCAGATGTTAGGCATGAAGCCAGTGAATTTGGACGAGAAATTGAATGAATCGCCTAATATGAGGTCAGTAATGTCAATGTCTTTGGATTATTTATTTAAATTTAACTAATTTTAGTCAAAACATAAGCAAAATATCCAAAGCATCTCAATGCAGCCTTGAAGACTTGAGCAAAATATCACAAGTCAGCCAAGAGAATGTATTGAAAACAATTTCAGATATGTTAAAGGAAAAGGACAATTTATCACAAAGACAAAAATTGGAAGGACAAAATGCACTACAGACTATTGTTAATTTATTAAGTGATAACACAACAAATTCCCAAGATTTTTCTGTGGAACATCCTCACTCAAACAGTAACAAACAAGATGAAGCAATGGATTTGTCAATGAAAAATAAATCATTTGACTCATATAAGTCACCAGTTTCTAAAAATCCACCACCATATGGAGTTTATGTAAGTGTGAATTCTAGAATTTATTGGGGAATTATAATTATTGTCTTTTAGAGCCCTCATAGGTCAATTGCAAGACCTTCAAACAACAATTCTCAAGGCTCTAATGGTTCAGTGAAAAATTCTCCTCTGCGTCGTCACAGCAATATTTCCCAAAACAAAGTCAACCCAACTGATAAATTCAAAAAATCCAAAACTCTACCATCAAAAAGAGAGCCCCTAAGGGCAATGTTACCAGTTGAAAATATGGCAAAAACCACTAATGTACCTTCAACTCCTGAGAGGCAAGACGAAAATAAACTCACCCTCAAATCAAAAAAAACCAGTACTCCTTTACAAGAGCCGAAACTCAAACCTGTGGCAGCTTCTACACCAGCTTCACGCCAATCGAATACGTCTAAGCCAAAACTTACCAGGTCATTTTCTTATCAGCCATCGAAAACTTCCTTGAGCAAACCAGCAGTGACTGACACAAGGCGAAATTCTGTGACCGAAACCGCAAATAATACAAAGGGCGATTTGGGCCCTTCTAAACTGAAACGCAGTTTCTCAATGGGCAAAGAATCCAGAATTTTATCAGCCTTGTCCAAAGCAAGGCAAAACATTTTAAATTCGTCCAATAATAATCAAGGTAGAACGAGTGTGGATGGTTTGGGGGATGATATGAAGAAATTTACTATGGAATTGAGGCCACCAAGCAGGGTAAGAATTTTTCTTTGTGAAGTTAGCAAAATATTCAAGTAACTTCACACATCAAAAACATTTTTTTCTATTTGTTTCAGCTGGGTCTGGCAAGGAAAGTGGGCAAAGAGAATTTCAAACCTTAATTTTTATGTTTTCTTAACACTAGTTTTTGTTTGTGATACATTTTATTTCGTTGATAAGGTATTATAATATTAATTGAAATTTTTGACTCAATAATTTGTCTGGCTGAAAACTACTACTTAATCACTATTTTCTCTATTATCATTTGCAACATTATATATTTGCTGAAAACATTTTGTTGTTAATTGTCACTGGCTTTCATGCAGGTTTCCATCTTAGTTGTCTTTTCCTTAGTTTTTTCAACATGTCTGTTAAGATTTTGATCTTTTCTGAGGACATTTCACTTCCAACCGAGCTCCCAATTATTCTTCTCACCGAAGTATATTTCTATTCCAGCTTCACTGAGAAAATTTGGATTAGATTCAATTTCTTGGGGTTCATTTTGCATTAATTTTGATGATTTCCAAATCTAATTTTAAGTATATCAGGAAGCTCACTAGTTAGAGGAAGATGGAATTGGAAATTGAAGCTTAGTTTTGGTTTAATGATAAGTTTACTTCAATTTAATAAACATATTTCACACTTCGAGCCCATTATGATATTAAAATTAAGACTGTCACATTGGACCAAAAAACTGTGATAAAAATATTGTGCCGCCCATTACTTATCTGCCATTTTATATTTATATATGGTCCGTCTTAATGCATAATACAATAAATCTTCTATTTTTAATAACTTAGAAAGTTTCTAATACAAATATTTTTTTATACTGTGACTTATTTGATGAGATTTGCAAGTTTTTAGGAACTTTCTAACCAATCTGTGTACTTATTAGGTTTAAAAATGAAATGGCACTAAAGTGTTTGAGATTTTGTATTTTTTTTTTATAATAAATAGTTTTGCTTGTCCGTGTTATAGTTTTACTTAAGGGGAAAACCACCAAGGAATTCTTTGCCAAAACTGTGGGGAATTCAGAAGAATTTGTGGGGAATTCGCGGACAATTTTGGGGATTTTCAGGGAATTTGCGAGCAGTCTGGAGGAATTTTTGGGGACTTTGGAGGAATTTGCGGGAAGTTTAAGGAATTGTTTGTGAAAATTCAGGAAGGGTGGTTTATTCCATAGACCTTACACACCTTATTAAAAATCAAAGTCGAAAAGTTTTAAAGCTCTGCAGCTACGAAACTATTGAAGCTGCATTGAAAATTCTCAGTAGAGATTTGTAAAGAATTTAATTGGCTTGATTTCAAGCCTAATTACATTAAGATCTGAACACTACAATCCCTGAAAATTTTTATCTTAATACCCCTAGAGAAAGAACACTGAATTTTTGAAGTTTTAAGTTTTCAAAAGAAAATTCTTGAATTTGATGAAAATTTTTTAACAGCTTGCAAATTGCTCTCCAGTCCTATAGCCATTATTTTAAACTCTATAATGAAAGGAGCTCCTATCCAAAAAATATGGAAATCCTCAATAGTTGTACCAATCTTCAAAAAGGGGGACAAACTTATACCATCAAATTACAGACCAATAAGTCTCACCAGCGTACTCTGCAAATGCATGAAGAAAATTCTAGTGGATGAGCTAACATCTTTTTTACTAGAACAGCAAGTAATACCTGATTCTCAGCATGGGTTCTTACCAGGAAAATCAACATTCATCAACCTGCTGCAAAGATTCAACAAATGGATGACAGTAATACACCATTTGACATTGTCTACATAGATTTTGAAAAAGCTTTTGATAAGGTACCTTTCAGGAGACTCCTGCTAAAATCGGAGCATAATGGAATACGGGGCAATATGTGCATCCGAGTGTGCATCCAAAGGAAAGACCTTTCAAGTAAAAATAGGCAATGTTCTTTCCAGTAGTCGCGAGGTGCATAGCAAAGTACCACAGGGCTCGATAATTGCAACTTTGCTGTTTATATTATACATTATAAGCGACCTTCCTGCAAATCTTCACCTCGTCCTTTGTAGACGACACAAATTCTACGTGCAGAGCAAGTGACCAATACCTGCAGATGCCATTGAACGAATTTGAGTGCACTATTCTTCACTTAGGAAGAACCAATCCCAATAATGGGTACACTATAGGAAATACCTGAGATGACTTCAGTTGAAAAACAGAAAGATCTGGACTTAATAGTCACAAAAGACCTCAAATGGGAGTGTCACACCTTAATTTACTTTATAAGAAAGTCGTTTAAAAACCTATCTAGTGATATGATATTTAAGCTTTACAAGACATACATAAGACCAAAACTAGAATATATGCAAAGTATATGGAGTCCTTATTATGTCAAAGATATAGATCTTTTAGAGAAAGTTCAGCGAATGGTAACTAAAACCCCTTCAGAGCTCAAAACTTTGATTCCTGGAATTTGATTCGTTGGAAATTCTTTCTGAAGTAATCAGGGCCGATAATGAACCAACATTTTATTGTTACAGACTCTTGATTCGCTAGAAAAAAATCAATTAAAGTAAATCAAGATATTGATTCCCAGTACTTGATTCGTTACATATCCTTTCTGGACCAATCAAGAGCCGATAATAAATCAAATTTTGATTATTACCGGCTCTTGATTCGCGGGAAAATTCACCCAAAGTCAATCAAGATGTCAAAACATTGATTCTTGGTTCTTGATTCGTTGGAAATTCTTTTTGAAGTAATCAGAGCCGATAATGAACCATCATTTTATTCATGTTGATTTTGTGTTTCGTTTCACGTAGGTACCTACGTTTTAGGGTTTGAAAAAGTATTAATATATGTACGAAACGTTACCGAGTGAAAATTGTGCCAAGTCCTTATAATCCACGTTAAATCCAGAAAGGCAAAATATTATTGTTACCGGCTTTAAATCAACCAAAGTCAATCAAGAACCGATGAATGTCAAAATATTGATTCCTGGTACTTTGATTCATTAAACATCTTTTCTCGGCCAATCAAAAGCCAATAATAAATCAAATTTTGATTGTTATCGGCTCTTGATTAACATCCAAAGACGATTAAGAGTCGATAATTACTATGTTCACATATAGCTGGCTGTCAGACAAATATGAAGAAACAAAACAACATTAATCTTTATCAAAACCAAGGTGGGCCAACTTGTTGAGGAGTAAAGCGTGGTTTAGTCTATCAAACGCTTTTGAAAAGCGAGTGTAAGCTGTATCAACCTGAAGATGAGAGTTTATTGCTTCACTTATAAATTGATGAAAACAAGCTAAGAGGAATTTGTAGGGAAGAGCCATGGCAAATGCTGAAGGCGGCCAACAGCTGCCAAGTAATTCCCAATGATGTCTGAACTTATATTCTACTATACAAATGCCAACTCACTAAACAATAAAATCCATGACTGTCAGACAGACGTGCTCAGAAAGAACCCAACCTTCATTCTGGTTACCGAGACATAGTTTCACAAAGTAATCTCAGACTTACTCATATGCCTACCTGGATATCATATGTTCAGAGATGAACGTAAGGATCAAGAGGAGGAGTTTGCATTTGGATAAAAACTGAAATCAATGGGTAAAAAATTTGCGCGAACATAAACCACAAATACAGGGCGCCCACAGACATTAACGCTGTTTGGCTAAATATCAAAATAGCAGACATAAAGTTTACTCTGGTTTGTATATGCAGGCTTCATCATATCACATTGGAACAGAACAGGAAGCTTCTGGACACTCTCAAAGAAACATTTGAGGAAAATATAGACGCTGTTATCTGGGAAGACTTAAACTTCCCTGAGATTGTCTGAAAAAGTCTTATACACTGAGAGAAAACAGTGTTAACGCTGTGGATTTTATTACAAGGAATGGAATTGTAGACAGCTAGTCACAAGAGTCACTCAACTTTGTTGGACTTACTGCTGATAACTGACAAAAAAATGATTTCAAATATTGAACATCACCCACTATCATTGAGGTCCCACTACTGAGGCTGAGCAACCATGAATTCAGTGAATTTCATGGCATAGTGAAGGAAACCATTGAAATCTATATCCCACTCAAACCTGAGCTTGTGAATCATAGAAAACCATGGGTAAATGATGCAATGTTTAAAGCAATCGAGAAAAAACGAACACTTTAGGGTAAATACGCCAAGAACAAACTAGCAGATAATTACAATTTGTACAGAACTTAAAATAAAGTTTAAAGAACACAATCAGGGCAGCTAAGATAGAAAATAAAGAAACAGTTTTTGCTGAATACGAAAATGAAGAAACAGTTTGTGCTCGGAGAACCAATCAGGAGTGATTATCTCTGATGCTCAGAAGACCGCTAGCACATTCGCGGATCACTTTGTGAAGGTATACACCAGAGAAAACCTAGTAAATTTTCCATCACTTTTCACAAGAACTGCCGTACAAAAAAGGAGAGCAGCTCAACCCTGGAAATTACAGACCAATTAGCCTTACGTGTAACCTTTGCAAGATCATGGAAAAAACAATAGTTCAGGAAATTACATCTTTCCTTGTTAAAAACAAGACCATCCCACCCACCCAACATTCTCATCTTCCCTACAACCAACCTACTCACCTGCATAAACTCATGGACGAAAGAAGTGGACAGTGGCTGTACTTAGACTATGAGAAGGCATTTGACAAAGTGGCATTCAAGAAGTTATTATTCAAACTGCAACACTCTGGGATCAGGGGTAAGCTCCTCGGATGGATAGGCAGTTTTCTACATAACCGAACCTTTCAAGTGAGAGCAAATGGGCATTTGAATACACGGTCCTTAGTAGGGTGCCACAAGGATTGGTGTTGGACCACTGCTGTTTACCGTATACATTAGCGATCTTCATTCTCTTATGAAGACAAATATAATTTTTTATGCTGATGACATAAAAATATACTGCAATCCGTGCTTGGAGCATCACAACCTTTTAGAAGACTTGAAAAAACTCGAGAAATGGATCAGCGAATGGTAGCTAACACTCAACCCCGACAAGTGTACTGTACTGCATGGCCCTAACAATCCAAACATACCTTACAGCTTAAACGGCACTACTGTGAAGGCTGTCACTGAGCAGAAAGATCTGAGTGTCATTATCTCAAATTACCTAAAATGGGAAATCCATAATTCTTCAGTTGTCAGAGGACAAACTTTTTTGTATACCTCATACAGAAAGCCTTTAGTGAAAGATCCATCCCCATGATTAGCAAAATATATAAAACATCAGACCTAAATTGGAGTTCGCATATTCGATTTGGAGTCCATACCTGGTTAAGGACATTGATATGATATCTTGGAAAGAGTCCAGTTTAAAGTGACGAAATTCCCCCCTGAAATCAGAAATCTCTCATACGAAGAAAGACTACTGAGATATGACATAACAACCCTAAAAGTTGGACGAGAGAGAGACGCACAAAATCTTAGATTATCATTATTCTCTAGATTTGCAATTGGAAATTTTCAGTTTAAATACTAATCAGCAACTCCGTGTGGTCATACTAAAAAGCTGGATAATGAGAGATGCTCGAAAGCTGATCAAAAATTTTTTTCTGACGAATAGGGTTGTCTATCAATGGAACGCCCTCCAGGAAAGCACAGTCACTGCTCTTACAAATAATGCATTCAAAAACAGACTTGACAGGGACCTGGATAGAGCTAGGTTGAACTTTGTGAATCACATGTGACTCATAACGCAGTGAAAACAAGGATATAACAATACATCAGTAGTCTCATCGGCGTTGCCGCTTACTACTGCCGAAACCTATAATAATAATAACTTGAAGGAACTTATGGGAAATTGGGGTACCTAATTTATTGGTTTTAACCTTAAATAAAAATAGAAAAGTATAACAGGCATTTACAGAGAATTTGCGAACAGTTTGGAGGAATTTGCATTGTATGGAATTTGGAGGAATTGTTTTCACAAATTTGGGGGGTGGTTTACCCCTTGGTTCTAATTAAATACTGTTGTCTTGCTCCCAAGCCAAAATGGCATTCATATTAGTAATACTTTTTGTACTCCACGGTTCTAAAGGGTCAGGGGAACTACAAGGCTCATCATTTTCTGGTTCAATTGAAGCCTCAGATTTGCAATGTCTTGTATCAGAAACTGTTGGAGCAACTCTGAAAAATATATACCAAAATATTAATTATTACATATTTCGTTAAAAGCTTCAATTACCTATTACTTTTAGCAGTTTTTGAACGCTTCTTCTTTTTTTTGGCCTTCAGATTTATCCCTGAACCTTTCAAAACATCTTCTGACAAAATCTTAGATCTGAAAAGTAACACCACCATCAAAAAATTAAAGTTAAATTATTACCTACTTACAAATTCTGATCCTCTTGCTTCATAGCAACATCAATATTTATCGGTCTGCTGTCAGGATTACTTTTCAGTTCCTCTTTTACACTTTTCATGCGTTCTTCAGCGTAATCTATTCAATATAAAATTAATTTTCTTTTGGTAAAAACATTATAAAGTAGGTATACCTAAATTCTTTGGTACAATAATTGTAGTTTCTTCAATGGGACAAATTTCAGTTGAACTAGAATCACTAGACACTATCAGCTTCTTTTTATCCAGAGCCTTTTTCTTGTTGGCTGAATTTCTCAAATGAGCAGATTTGGCTCTTTTTATCCTCGATATTTTGCCTAATATAACATCTAAAAAAAAAAACCATTGACTAATCATTTTATTAGTTCAATAACAAAATTACCTCCAAAACCTTCACTATCACTACATTCTAGTACTGAATACTTCTTCTTAACCTTCTCTTCCATTTTCTTCACAAAATTATCAGTACCAGTAAAAATCCCTGCAAGATTTTTCACCGAAGGAACCGCTTTAGAATCAGAACCCAATACAATTTCCTCAGTTTGTGGCAAGTTAGCTGCTTGAAATGCCAAAGTGTTTAGTCTTTCAGAATTGTTTTCCTGTTGCAAAGATTCTAATACGAGATCTCTTAAAGGATCTCTAACAGGTCCAATGTCTTGGACATTTGTTAATTGAGTTAAAGTGCCTAGCATTGCAACATCTGTCGATCCAAATCGGATACAAGTTTTGTTTAGGTCTATAGTTGATGATGGCTAAAATCAAATTATTATTGAATTTGCTATAATAATTATAATTATTACTTTTTGATTTTGAGGAGGATTAGCTGCTTTGACAGTTGTAGCATTATGAGTCAAATTCAAACCTTGAGCGTTGATTTCGAGGTCATGAGTAAAGGCCATTACGTCTAAGGCTGCTGTAAGAGCATCCCCAAACCCGTTAGCTAAATCAGGCCCTTGAGGGTTTGATAATGGATCAGGTTTTGGCCCTTTGACTTTAATCGGTGTATTAATGGATTCTCTGCCCCACATTAAGCAGCGCATTTCTTCTCCTGTCATTCCTTTTTTCTTTAGAGCTTTTACAGTTACTTTACCAACCCTCTGAAAGAAATTTTCTTATGAAAACATCATAATACAATTAGAAATTACCTTCCAGTTTGCTACAGCTCCTTTTCTCTGTTTGGCTCTGGTTTTATTTTTCGATTTAATAACCATTACACCTCTTTGTTCTGTAGCTGGGTCATCAGAGGGCCCCAAAGATATGCTATATTCCTGTAAATAATTGTGAGCTTCCTTTTGAGGTATAGCCCTCTCCAAAGAAATAACAATTTTGGCCCATTGTTTCACCCATTCCTTTTCGCTTTGCTCGGTTACGTGAGCATATGTGTTACCCATCATAGCGATTAACATATTCAACAATAAAATAGGCACAAAAACCATGAATAATCCAAAAACTGATTTGGCAACTCCCGGATAAGTGGTCAGTTGCAATTCAGAATACTAAAAAAATCAAACTAATTACTACAAAAATCCATAAATAACTACTTACATCATAGTTTCCCATAGTTATTTGAAAAAGAGCCATCCAAGTAGAACTATAGCTGTGATACAAAGTTCCATTGACACTAGGATTGCCTTTGTACAAAAAGAAAAACGACTGTGAAAAACCAAAGAGGAAAATTGTATAAATTATTCCAAATGTTAACATGTCCCCAGTAATCATGCTGTAGATCATTGTTACAAAGGGGCCAGTAAGACGAACAGCTCTGAAATAATAATAATTTTGATTTATACATAATTTGATTTAGTAGTTTTTATTTTTACCCTGCAAAAAACATCAATAAAAACCATGATCCTGGTACAGCAAAAATAAGAATAGTTTCTTCTGTATTTCGATCCCCAGACAATCTACAAGGAATACAGGCCAGAATCATTAAGTTTGATAGGAGAAAAATGAATTTAGGTGGTGAATTTGTCTGTGTCTTGAGAAACGAAATAAATCCTTGATTCCTTATTTCATTGCCTTGTTGAATTATAAGATAGCTTAGTACGTTGCATAGGGTACCTATTTCCGCTGCATATCTACAAAAAACTATTAGAAAAATACAATTAATTAAAGGCTAATTATTACCTAGCTATGACAGTTGGATCATCAGACCAGCCTAATAAGGATTCATCTGGATCGCCTGGCCTGAAATATACAGCTAAAGACATAAACGCCAGATGAACTATGAGAATAATGAGGCGTTTTAAAAATTGATTTCTTGCGAAAGCTTTCCATTTTTCTTCGAGTAATCTTTGGATGATTCCACCATCTACAAAAATTTATTGCAAATGAGACCTTAGATATACAAATATAAGGTGTGTTTTGAATTGTCACAGAGTATTTGGTTTTTGATAAGCAGAAAGTAGGGACTCAGAAGGGGGTTTAATTGACTTTAAAGTGTGTTTTAATCAGAAATTGTCTTCGAATCATTGGTTGGTTTTAGCATTAAGTGACGTTTCTACCATGCATGAGCAAATGATGGTTTCTGCCAAAAATTTATATTCAATCTCACCCCAAAAATTCCACTTAAATCTTAGTTCCCTAAAGCTGAAATTTGACCTAAAGTAGTTTATGATTTATCATTATCTTAGAGTTAAAGTTGAGGAGCGGCTTACAAAGATGATTTTTGACTATTGTATGAATCTAAAATTAGGTAGAGAAGCGAAAAAATCCTATTCCTGGCTTTACTAGAGGTGAAATATCCACTAGAGAAGAATTGAAACTCTGATTTCTGGCTATTCTGGGAGAGCTATTCGTGAAATTCCAATTAAAGTAGTTGAAACTCTGATTTCTATCCATCCAAGAGTTGAAGGTGAGCTGGAATGGTTTGAAAAGCTCATTCTTGATACTGTTAGAGCAACATTTCAATTAGAGACGCTTACAATTCCTATCCCTGACTCACTTAGAGAATAATGAAATGTGAAAATCTCATTTCTAACTATCCTGGAATGAATTAAGCTGGAGCGGCTTGAAAACCCTCATTTTTAGGCCTTGTAGAGCTTAAAATGTGACTAGGAAGCGAGAAAATCTCATGCCCAACTCTCCTAATCGGTGAAATTCCATTTGGAGAAGTTAAAATTCCATAGACCTTGTTCACCTTAGTAAAAAAACCTGGAAAGGCTTTAAAGCTCTGCAGCTACGAAACTATTGAAGCTTCATTGAAAATACTCATTAGAGATTTGTGAAAAATTTAATTGGCTTCATTTCAAGCCTAATTACGTTAAGATCGGATTGAAATTAACAAAGATACGAGGTAAAATGTGGTTCAATGTCATTTTGGAAAAAATCAAACTTCAAAAAACGACATTGGAAGACGTTTAATTTTTTCTTGAGGAAAACTTTTGAAGGATTGGCTTGAAATTTTGCGAATAGATGAAGGAAGGATTGAAATATAAGAAAAAAAATTAAAATTTGCTTCTACGCGCTCACCTTGATAAAAATCAAAGTCGAAAAGCTTTAAAGCTCTGTAGCTACGAAACTATTGAAGCTGCATTGAAAATACTCTGTAGAGATTTGTGAAGGATTTAATTAGCTTCATTTCAAGCCTAATTACGTTAAGATCGGATTGAAATTAACAAAGATACGAGGTAAAATGTGGCTCAATGTCATTTTGGAAAAAATCAAGCTTCAAAAAACTACATTGGAAGACGTTTAATTTTTTCTTGAGGAAAACGTTTGAAGGATTGGCTTGAAATTTTGCAAGTAGATGAAGAAAGGATTGAAATTTAAGAAAAAAAAAATAAAATTTGCTTCTACGCGCTCACCTTGATAAAAATCAAAGTCGAAAAGCCTTAAAGCTTTGTAGCTACGAAACTATTGAAGCTGCATTGAAAATACTCAGTAGAGATTTGTGAAGGATTTAATTAGCTTCATTTCAAGCCTAATTACGTTAAGATCGGATTGAAATTAACAAAGATACGAGGTAAAATGTGGCTCAATATCATTTTGGAAAAATTCAAGCTTCAAAAAACGACATTGGAGGACGTTTAATTTTTTTCTTGAGGAAAACATTTGAAGGATTGGCTTGAAATTTTGCAAGTGAATAAAGAAAAGATTGAAATTTGGGAAAAAATAGAAAGTTGAAAACTTCTGTCAGATATGTGTAAGACTCTGAGTAATGACCATCCTGTAACTTATTTCAGTATGAAAGTGTTTCAGGCAAAAATTACCTAGAAAATTTCTACTGGTATACAGGGCAGTAAAAGTGTAGAAGTAAAGTTTGCGTGGAAATCTGAGGAAAATCAAAAAGAAATCTGCTATTTTCTTGCCTTCAAACAGTATTAAATGTAATATTGAACGTGTATTGGGTTCTCAAATTGTTCCAACTCTTTCCTCAGTATTATTTTACCTAACATGTCCAAATGCTCCTCTTTAGTACCATTCAAAATAATAAAAAGAGCCGAATTCCAATTTGTCCTTCCATCAGGTAACAGAGTATCCAAAGCATTCAACGTGTAAGCCGAACAAGTAATATTACTGTACCTCCAAAACTCTTTACAAGACAGCTCCAGCATCTCTCTAAACACCTCAGCACGTCCTAAAAACAAATACATTAAACCTAATTTTTAACTTTCAAAAATCTCACCTAATTTACAAGCCAAAGTCAATGGTGTCAGACCAGACTTATTCAAAATCCCATTGCTAGCCGGCAACTTGGGATGTCTCAAAGCGTACCCGAACATGTCCAACTTATCACAGACCACCACCATATGCAAAATCATGTTGCCGAAGCTGTCTTGTAGATCAGGATGGGCATCGTTATCCAACAGTAAATTATAAACGCTTTCGTTGGCACAACAAGCGGCCCATGCTAATGGGAATTCGCCTAGATAAGCCAGGCCTTCATAGTCTGTATGTTTTGCTGGATTGGCTTTTTGTTGATCTCTAGGTAAGAAGAAACTGCCTATTGCTCGTTGGTTGACATTAGCACCTGCTTCAACCAAATCCTGAACTAGTTCGTTATTGAAATAAGCAATTGCTAAATGAAGTGCGCTGGCACCTAAATATTCCTCGCCTTCAACAATATCCAGGGCCAATTTAGGAAAACACTTGATTAAAGTGCGTGCTAGTCTAGTGTGTATTTTGGTATCGCAAATAATTAAAACGTGCAATAAGGTTTCACCTAAAGAACCTCTGTATTGCATTTGCCAGCAGGCTTCATGGTCTGCCCATTTACCTAAAGGGTCATATCTGCTTAGAGATGCTTCAATTGGAAGAATAACTTGTTCGTGATCTCTATACTTCCACCTCAAATATTCAGCACGATTAATAATTTGTCCTTTACCATCTTGATACATTAACTGACCAAATTGTTCTCTCATTAGTTTTTCGCATTCTGCTTGTCCTCCTACGTTGTAGGCATCAATTAGTTCGCCTCCTAAAATTTTTGTTAAGAGATTCAATAAGCGTGTTAAAAAGTAGTTTACCTTTTTTGTAATTGGCTAAGCGATAGAGCAAACACTGATCTTGATTAGAGCTCTGGCTGATAACCCTGTCCAAAATCGATCCTCCTGTGTAGCGTTTCTTTTTTCTCTTGCAGCATGGTTTACAATGCCATGCCCCCATGATTCTATATGGTACAATAAAACTTGTTTTGAAGGCATTTTTTTTGGGGATCAATATAGGGTCAGGGTAAGAAAATATTGTGTCAAGGGTAGTGAAGCGGTTGGTACGTGCTGGTACAAGGGGCTCGTGTTGCGCTCCCCCAAAAACATATTTGGTTCAATAATCAATTTGCTCGTAATCAGTGGCGTAACGATTTTGGACCTGGGGGCAGAGTGGTTTGGCAAGTTCAATTTAAAATTATAATGGTGTATGCAATATTCTGTTTGTCTACGGGCCAATAATACTTATACACAATGAATAATGAAACAAATATTAAATATACAAACGTTTATTTTTTTTGTACAATATCAATATAAATGTATACATCTGTAATAAAGCTTATCCGTAATAAAATAATACTTGATAAAAAAATAATAATTGTGCGTCAACTCAAAAAAAGGAAGAACTTTTTTTTATCAATTTATACATTGAATTGATTATATTTCATTGCACTGCACATAATTGGCTGGAAATAAACCATATTTGCCTTTACAAAGCCCTCTCCACCAACCTTCATCAATCTACAAAAAACTCTATGTTAAAACAATCACTTCACAATACCAACAATCTTACCTTTTCAATGTGAGTTATAACATCATCAGGATCAAATGAAACTTCATCTTCAGCAGCCGCTTGGTAATCATACAAAGCAACCGCAGTAACTCCTGTATCCACAATTTCATCTTGACTGTAGTACTCGGGTTCTTGAGGTTGTGGTGCAGCCACCACCGGTTCTTGGTCCGGTACTATCTGAACAGGCACCGCGTGATGTACAAATTCAGCAGGAGGTTGCACATCTTCGTAGTTTTCATAAATTTCCTCAGCTGGTTGAGCCGGTTCATCTGGTTTTTGTTTTTGCAATTGCTTCAGCAACTCTAGTTCCTCTTTTATTGCACTATTTGAACCTGGATCTGGTTCGTTTTGAGTTGAGCTGAACTGAGCAAGATTCAGTTTTTGTGGGGCAATTTTGTCGCTGGTTTTTGTGTCAGATGTTTGATGCAAAAAGGCTGTTTTTGACGAATCCAGTTGCTTAGGGATTGAAGAGTGTTTCTCTGGAATGGGCGAGGTTGGTGCTTCTTGGCTGGTTTGTGAAAATAGGGCTGCTCTAGCGTGGACTGTTTTTTTAGGGGCGACATTTGTTTGTGAAGTTACTTGACTGTCTTTTGAACCCTGAGAAAAATTTACAACTAAATAATGACAATTTTAACTAGAAGTATCAAAAGCTGGAAAATTATAATATCCTGATTCTGCGACTAATGCCTGATTCTCACAAGAACAATTCAGAATTCTCATGAGAACAAACTTTCAATGTTTGGCATGAAATTGAAAAGGACAGCTATACATACATATACATACTAACCATATTTTCAAATTTTGCTCTCAAATCTGATGGTTTAGCACCTCCAATATCCGGTTTGACTTTAACATAATTCGTTCCGATTTTGGTGGGTTCATCAAAGTTGGCAGCTGATTTATCCACTCTGTCGGTTTGCAGGCCAAATTTACCACCGAAGCCGATTTTGTGGTCAGTTTGACTTTCGTGCTTTTGCGGTGCTTCGTGATGGTCCCAGCCCAGGGCGGATTTGTCTTGACGATCAGATTGTACCCCGAATTTACCACCAAAACCTTTAACATAATCTATAAAAAAAAAATATATATATATTTTTGAACATAAAAAAGTTTGATTTAATATCACCTTTTTGAGACTCATGTTTTTCAACTTTTTCAATGTGATCCCATCCAACTGCTGATTTATCTTGCCTGTCGCTTTGCACACCAAATTTCCCCCCAAAACCAGTCACATAGTCCTTTTGAGAAGCGTGTTTTTGAAGTTTTTCCTTATGGTCCCAACTTACAGCACTCTAAGGGAAAAAAAAAAAATTTAAGCACAAAATCATAGCGAATTGCCCAGCACCAATCAGCCTTTAATTAATCGCTAAACACCTTTTGTTACCACAAAGCACACTTTTAAGCCCCATAATATCATCATACCTTATCGACTCTATCAGTTTGGAGCCCGAATTTACCACCGAAACCTTGAGAATAATCCTTTTGGGAGGCGTGCTTTTGTAGTTTTTCTTTATGGTCCCAACTTAGGGCACACTAGAATTTTTATCAATATTTGCTCTTTCAATTGACTACAGTTTGGAATTAAAAAAAAAAAAACAATTCTTACTTTATCTACTCTATCACTTTGGACACCAAATTTTCCACCAAACCCTGCAGAATAATCCTTTTGCGAGGCATGTTTTTCCACTTTTCCAACATACTCGTGCCCCACTGCTGAGGCATCCATTCTATCTTTTTGGACACCAAATTTACCACCGTATCCAATAGATGGATTATCTAGGCCCTCTTCCAGGGCCTTCTTTTTCTTTTGGGTGTCGGATTCTTCAGTTTCACGCCTTAATTTTGCCATACTAATAATTAATTATAATAAATGAATAGTGATTTTTGAAAAATGTGAAAATTCTTACTCTATAGCTCCAGCAGTTCTCCCAGAACCCTCCACAGTAGTAGAGCCCCATCTTTGTTGTTGCTCGTCAACGTCGTTGATAAAATCGGGGTCAGTTTCCCATTCATCGTCTTCCGTGTTTTGGCTGATTACGATATTTTGGCCTGTTGCCGCTTTCCACATTTTTATTTGTTTTGTAAAACTGAAAATTGATTGTGTAGCAAAGGAGGGTCACAATTATTATTGATAATCAATCAGAATGGATAGTTTTCCAGAAGTTGTGACGAATATTCGTTTTGTAAAAGTCTAACTTTTGTTCATCTATCAAATGAAAACAGAAAACAAGATGATAAACAAATACAGATTGAAATTTTTTATACAAATAATCTAAAATTCAAATATAAACAGTTTAAAATTGAGACATATACAGGGCTGTGACAATACACATACAACACATTTCAAACAAAATGACTAGTATTGGAGAAACTCCTGTATACTGTAAAAAGCCTTGGAGCATACTAGTTTCTTAACTGTCTCTTTAAATAGGTTAATCGACATTTTTTTTATGTATATCGGTAATTTATTAAATAGCTTAACCGCCATAAACTCCGAGCGACCCTGGCACGTTGACAATCGGCAATGAGACGGCACAATATTGCCGCAGTGTCTGGTTTTATAGTCGTGGATATCACTATGAGTCAAGAATATGTGTTCAAACTTTTGACATACAGCACGCATTCCATAATATAAGCTGATGGAAGAGTCGGTATGTTGAGTTCCACAAACGCAGGCCTACAGTCATCCCTAACCCCCACACCCTCCAAAATTCTAACAACCTTACGTTGCAGCCTAAAGATTCGGGCTGCAGAAGGGGCTCTCCATGCTAGAATCCCATATGTGATGAGGAAAAGAATACGTCCTAAAACGGAGCCCTCTGGTACACCTACCCTTAAGAAACCCTCGAAAGACAACACTCCCCCCACCCTTACCATTTGTGTGTGTTCATTCACATACGATTCCAGTGGTTGTATGGTGCCCTCTGAGAAATTGTAGGACTTTAGACACAATCAAAAGCCTTGCATAGAAATATGCTAAGAGGTGTTCACATTTCTCAAAAGTATCCGTTATGTTCGAGAAAAGATTGAGAACTGCAAGAACTGTGCCTTTTCCCCGTCTGAACTCAAACTGGCTACCAGTAAACAAGCTGTTGCTCTCAAAGAAGTCAGTAATCCTGCATACCATGCACCTCAAGTACCTTCGACAAAATTGGCAACAAGGAAATGGGACGATAGTTAGAAATGTCATTCCTGTCCCCTTTTTTTAAAAACGGAGTAATTACAGCCCTCTTGAGTGACTTAGGAAATGTATTCTCTCTAAAGCATAGGTTTATCATCTTGGTACCAAGATAATATTTTTTATGTTCTTGATAAGCTGTACAATGAGACCATATATATCCCAACTTTTTTTTATTTTCCAAGCTGTCTATAATATCCCTCACAATATTCCCCAAATGAAAATTCTTCCTTTAGGAAAGCCAGCTTTTCCAACCCCTCAAGGGGATTTCGATGTATTTTTTTTTTGTGAATTTTATTTATTATATTATCTGGGATGTTCAAGAAAAAAGAATTGAAATATTCAGGGTTTATGCTAGGTAGCAACTCAGATTTATTGAAATTTCCTCTATGAACGTGAATGAGCCTGCACCGAGTACACTTTTTAAATAAACAAACGGTAAATTTATGCTTGCAGAACTCAGATCAAAATACCGAAAGCACGGTAAGTGATTGTACTACATGCAGAGCAGACTGAAAATTGACAGCATTGAGAATGAGTATGAATTTCCCAGCACGCTTGCCGAATTGCCACTTTGCTACCAGATTGATTGAGGATGTAGCTAACTAAGAAAGTAAATTCTCAACCCATAAGCTATATTTCATCTCATGAATGAGACTTGAGTGCTTTCACTCCTATGCATTTTTTAATTAGAACAGCTGATACAGACAATATGCCAAGTATACTTAAACCAGGAAGATATGTTTGGAAAAGACGGGCAAATTAGGAGCGTAGAATTTAAAACAGCTACTTCTCCACTTGTACGCCCTCTGTAAATGGATTATTTTGGATGAAGGTGGGAGAATGTAGTAAATAGAAGAATTCCTTGTTTTTTACCTTTAATTATAGTCTTAGAAAGTCAGTCAGAATAATCTAAGGTCAAAATAGATAGTTGTTCCAGAAGAAATTGTCACGAATATTTATTTTTTAAAAGTGTGATTTTTTTTTTAGGAAGTAGTGGATAAAGGTCCGCGAGTCGATGAACTTTAGCATATTTTATAAAGATCCGCGAGTTGCATTCCTTTAACATATTTTATAAAGATCGGCGAGTTGTGAACCCTAAGTCTTAGTTTATTTCCAAAGGTATACTAGTTGACAGCTTTCCACAATTCAAGAAAATTTAGTTGTTCGACTGTTTTCCTCCAGGTAATATTCAGGTAAAAATACAGAGGCGTCTGGCAATTTTGGATCATTAGGTTCTCTAGAGTTAATGGTAATTTTTCGAAAACATAAGTTTTTTTTTCAAGGTTTTCAATGGAATTTTTTTATTATGAATAACTTTTTTTCTTTAAGGCCTGATTTGTTCATCTCCAGATAAACTTCCTGGTAACAATCAGCAAGATGTTCTATAATTTTATTGGTCAGCAAATAACTGGAATTACAGATTGCGTTTTTATCCGTGATATTGCATACCTAACAGTTTATCAGAGGGTGAATAAGACAGCCCTTAGACAAAAAGCAGACTTACCCTAACTAACAGGTCCATCTAGTCCTCTTAAGCTACCATTTTATTAAAAAAAAAAAACAAAGTTAATTTAGTTTAGAGCATACCGTCCCTTGAGCGTGCTTTGTTTTTTAGATAAAATGCTAACTTACAAGAAATTAGATAGCACTAGGCGGACGGGTTGTTTTGGGTTAGTTTAGATAAGTCTGCATTTTCTGTCTAGAAGGCCTGCCATAAGGAGGTTATGTGAATTCAAAGAAAGATAATTGTGAGTTGTCAAAATGTTTGTTCTAAAAACTGACAATCCTACTGAGATTGTGAATTTATTTGCTCAGCACTTTGCATCTGCGTATGTTAATCACTGTGAAAAGAATAAATTTTACTTATTCTAGAACTACACAATTGTTCTCGTGTAACTTTACAGTCATGGAAGTGTTTGCTCAGCTAGATAATAGTTATTTACATTACAAGTGCGTTTATGAGCATCATTACAATAACGAGTGTGAAGGATTAGAACGACGAGGTCGTAGACCGAGTCGTTCTAATCACACGAGTTTTGTAGTCATGTTTAAACGCACGTGTGATGTACAACGTTTTATCAACAAAGGGAAAAATAAGAATATTTTTCCAATTATTTTTGTTCACTAATAGTTGTCTACCTTCATTTTACCTTTACAGGTTTACCTTTGACATTTGTCAAATCACCAAAAATAGTTGTGTTATAAACTCATAACCTCGTCCATAACACCACTAGTTGTGTTATGAATTCATAACCTAGTCTGTGTTAACACCACTAGTTGTGTTATGAATTCATAACCTAGTCTATAACACCACTAGTTGTGTTATGAGTCTCATGACGTAACTCAAATACTAGAAAAATGATTATGTAAAAACGTCATAACCAAACGCTTGTAGATAAATTAAATAATAATCTGGGATGTGGACCTGATGGCTTTTTGAAAAATACAAAATTTGTCCTCTGTGAAAAAATCTGTTCTCTGTTTAAATCATCTTTATCAGCTAGTATTTTCCCTAAGAAGTGGAAAATGTGCTATGTAACACCTATATATATATATAAGTCAAGGGATCGAGCTGATGTATCTTATTATAGGCCTATCAGTAAACCATTACTTTTACCAAAAATCTTTGACTGTTTGGTATTATATAGGATGTAGGATGACCTCTTTAAAAAAATAAAGTTAGCTGTCATAACTTGTTTTTGAGTCACCCTGTATACATGGTATTATCATCAAAAAAACGGCCACTAAAATCAAAAATTGATGTGTCCGAGGCTCTTTGAAAAATATCCACCCTGTATATATTATAGATTTTATTCCAACCTTTACGTGCTCACTGTATATTGCTTGGACAGGAACTAGAGAGAGTAAAATCTTTGAAAAACTTAGGAGTAACTTTCAATCAGGATCTCACTTTTAATCTCCATATTGAAAATATTTGCAATAGAGCCTTAAAACTCCTTGGCTTTGTAGTTCGCAATTTGAAAGACTTTAGCAATATTTATGCATTGAAAATTGTTTGTTGTTGAGTAGTTAGATCTTTACTTGAATATGTTTGTCCTGTTTGGTCCCCAAACTACAAATTGTATGTGAATATGCTGGAAAGGGTTCAGAGACGTTTTCTAAAATATATGGGCTATAGGTTAAGAATAAAAGAATTCCTGTTGAAAATATTAACTTCGATGAATTATCTGTGTTATTACACCCTCCTACATTAGAAATCCGCAGGGATGCCAATCAACTGCCAATAGAGGTAGATTTTTTAAATTTATCCCTGAAGGGGTTGAAAAACAAAAATACAACAGAGCTTGTAGTAGCAACTAGTTCTACACTTCATGAACGCATATTCAACCATCCTAGAAGATCGACTAATGGAACCTCAATGCCTTCATGGTTGAGCACCCCAGGTCCCAGGACCAGTTTTTCTCAAGAAACATGTTAGACATAGCAAATATGATCCACTAGTAGAAGAAGTTGATCTTCTGGGAGCAAATTCAGATTATGCTCACGTACGCCTATCAAATGGAAGAGAAATAACTGTATCAACTCTTCATTTAGCATCAAGGGGAGATGTGGCCGATGTGACACTGCCAGCTCTGACAGATTAAGGCTCTGGTTCGAATATAACCAAATGTTAACCAAAGCAACGGAACCGGTTGACTGATGGTTACTGAAAATTCCGGTTACCTACTTGTGGAGCGCAAATATGAAATAAGATATAATTGACAGAAATTACAGATAAAACCAACCAAACCGAAATCCGATGGCCAGTAACTATTTTGACATTTGGTTAACCAGATTTCAGGAAACCGAGGTCCAAAAGTAACTACTTTTTCAGGAACCAAAGTAATTTGATTACTTTCGGACCGCCAAACCACAACCCTGGTTATATTCGGACCACAGCCTAAGATCAAAATTATGTGACCTTATCAGAACAAGATCAAAATGTCATAAAACTGCTAGAACAAGATTTTAATGAGTTAACTGTTCCTAAATTTTGGCAGTTTTTGCATGAGAAGAGCAAGAATCGAGGGATACCGGGGGAAATGAAATTTAATGAGAAATTGTACTCGGGTTCTGAGGATATAGCGATGGCTTTTGCTCAGCATTTTGAGTCAGTATATGAAAGACCCAAAGATGTAAGTAAATACATGGGGAATGTAAACGGATGTGATTTTAGATTTTCAGATGTGTCAGAGTTGAAAGTTGTAAATAGTATTAAAAGGTTGAAGCCTAAAAAATCGACTGGGCCTGATCAGATCCCTGCCTATATTTATAAAGGATTGGCTGAGTTCATAGCTCTACCGCTCAAACATATTTTCAATATTTCTATTGGAAGTGGACAATTTCCTGATGCCTTGAAGAATGCTCAGATTACACCTATTTTCAAGAAAGGACGAAATTAGGAACTATAGACCGATTTGCCTCATTAATATTTTAGCAAAAATTTTTGAAACAATACTTTATGATGATCTTTCAAACTTTCTAAAACCTAAAATTTCTAAATACCAGCATGGATTCTTAAATGATAAGTCAACAATAACAAACCTCTCTATATTCTCGGAAATGGCGGCTGAGGCGATCGCGAATAAGAGCCAGTTGGATGTCATTTACACAGATTGTGAGAAGGCTTTTGACAGGGTGGACCATGAGTTGCTGCTTTGCAAGCTTGCTGAGTTTGGGGTGTCAGAGGATGCTTACCATCTTGTGAGGTCATACCTAATAGGCAGGGTCCAGACAGTGAGGGTCGGCGCTTGCAACTCTGAGGCGTTCGTTGCAACCTCAGGTGTCCCGCAGGGTAGTAAACTGGGCCCTCTTTTCTTTTTGTGTTTCATCAATTCATTGCCTGACTGCCTGAGGGACTCTATGGGACTTCTCTTTGCTGATGACTTCAAGCTCTGTAGGATTGTTGAGCGGCAGGAGGACTGCAGAAGGCTTCAGGGTGACATGGATAGGGTGATGGACTGGTTCAACAACAACAGAATGTCCCTAAATGTTAATAAGTGTTCTGTTGTCAGCTTTACGAGATGAACAAACCCAATAGAAGAAACATACAAGATTGGTGATACTGAGCTTGATCGTCAAACAGAGGTGAAGGATTTGGGTGTCTTTTTCCAGGCCAACATGAAGTTCAATAAGCATTTTCATCATGCTGTCAATAAAGCAGTAAAAGCACTTGGCTTTGTAATCAGGAATAGTAAGAACTTTAAAATAAGTACAATTATTAACTTGTATAATGCTCTGGTGAGACCACACCTTGAATATGCATCACACATTTGGATGCCATTGGAAGTCACGCATATTGATGAAATTGAAAAAGTGCAGAAGAGATTTTTGCGGTATCTCTATGTGGTTAAAAATAATATTTACCCATATATGGTTCCTTACAGGGATATGCTTGTTAGTTTTGAGATAAAGTCATTAGTGGAAAGAAGGAATAATCAGGCTGTGATATTTTTGTTTTATATTTTAAACAACCTAAAGTATAAGGATTGTAATTTAATTAACTATGTCTCCTTAATTGTACCAAAGATTAACTTAAGAATTATGAAAAACAAGAAATACTTTGGTACTGATCCTAGTAATAATATGTCACCATTTAATCGCATGATGACAGTTGCGAACCAAGCACTTAATGAGGTCCAGGTAGATCTTTTTAATGTAACTTTCAATCAATTGAAGGCCCTTTTAAATTAGTCATATATGTTTATATTGTGTACTCTATCTTTATTTCTGTGTTTTACACTTCGCTGTTTTACCTTTACATGTAATTACTATTTTTGGTGTTTGTAAAGTAATGAAATAAATGAAATAAATAAATAAATAAAACCTTACATCAGTGGAAGAGAAATTACTGTATCAACTCGTCATCTAGCACCAAGGGGAGTTGTGACACTGCCAGCTCTGACCGCTCTGACAGATCAAGATAAAAATGATGTGACACTGCCAGAACAAGATCAAAATGCCATGAAACTGGCAGAACAAGATTTTAATGAGTTAACTATTCCATCAGTCAGTCCAGAACATTCATCATCTTGGTTCCCTATAAATGATTCTCATCGGTCCTCTCCCCAAAATTCTGAACAATCTAACAATGAAAATCCTCCAGCTTTATCTACAGTGAAATCTTCTAATGAATCCAGTCGTGTTATGGTGAAGAGAAATCATAGGCCACTTTCATATTTTCAAGATTATGTCAGAAACTGAGCAAGGAAGAATGTTGTATATCTCATTACCTTATTTACTGTGTTTTCTATTTATTTACCTGTTATGTTGTATGTCATGTTGTCAGTTATTGTCAGAATAATCTGTACTGAATTTTAGCTTATTAAAGTCTCAATTTTGGAGGTCTTTTACTATACACAGAAACAAGAAATAAATGGAAATTAGCTAGAGTGACAAAAACATTTCTTGGGAAAGATGGGCAAATTGTGTAGAAACTCAAAATGCTACTTTTTCACTTGTACTATACCCTCGACCACACTCTTCAAATGGATTACTTTGTTGTTTCAGAAAAAGTTAACAGCTATAGGGCATAACAGTTAAAGCTCTTATAAATTGAAGCTGTTACCGGTTGTATTTTTAAGCAAGTAGAGAGCTTTATTTTTGATAAGATAACTATTTTAATTAGGTAAAATGTATTTACCTACCTGAAAACATTCAAACTTTTATAAAGGGGGTTTTTGCTGCAACTAACAACCAGAAGAAGTTCCTTTTTAAAAAACGTAGATTTAATCTCTGGAAAAGTCCTGAAAATTAAAGTTTTCTCAATGAGAAGCGACTCCACCCCAAGCAAAGTTTATTTTGATTTTGATGACACATAAATATAAATTCTAGGTTAGGTATTACTCTGACATTTTTCAACAATGTTGCCACATCAATGCTATATGGAAAATCGTATTTTAAGGTAACAATATCTAATATCTAATTAATTAGAGTAATTTATTTCATTTTAATGAATGAATAGAAACTATTTTTTAAAAAATAACTAATTAATTCATATTTATTTACAAATGATTGAAATTTAGCTAAACTGCAACAGTGTATTGACAGTGATGTTTTGTTGACATCTGCCAAACGAAATTTGAAATTTTGTAACGAACATTTCTTGTGTTCCTATGTGTACAAGCAAAATTTCCTAATTTATTTCCATTAAAATCATGTTCTCTGGACAAAACGTAACGGATTACGTGAGTACGTATACCCAAGAAAACCAAAGCAGCTTAAAATACAGTTCCGCTTTGGTAGAAAACGTTGAAAACCACTATAAAAATGAAATTCTGGAATCCCAACCCTACGAAAGCCAATACTTCCATTTTCTAGAAGAAATTGAAAAATCAAGAAGTAAGTAACATGAATTTGAGCTGCTTGTAGTTTGTAAAATTTTAGTTTTACAGCAACAATTACTGGAACGAATTGTCCAAGAAAACCAAAAGCACGAACAGTTTGAAAAAGACACGACTGAATCTACTATGCACACTGAGAACCTAAAAACTTCTATAGAGAAGTTGGAAAGGTTGGAAGTTAAAAAGGAAGCTGAAGCCAAAGAGCTGGAACAATCTGTAGCCAGTTTTAAGGGAAAACTACAATCTGTGGTCAAGGAGAAAGAAAAGTTAATCAAACTAAGGTAACTTATTACAGCACTATTTCAAATTTGACAGTGAATATTTGATTTTAGGCAAGAGATTTTGACCTACAAGGTTCTAACAAAAGTCGATTTAGTTTTTTCTTCAAAAAAGGTCACTGGATGTATCCTTTTTTATATTATTTAAACAAAACTATGTCCTATTCACAATCCGTAGTCCAAAGGACCCAAAGGTACAGGTAAATTTATCACCTTTCCCTAACAAATAGCAATGAAAGATAATAAATTTTACCTGTACCTTTGGACATCGGATTGTGAATAGATAATAGCTTCATAGATGATTCCTTAATTATTCTATTCAGTAATTTTAAGAGATGTTCCAAAGCCTATAAGATACGACCCAGAAAAGTTGTCCATGGAAGAAATCACCAAGCAAATTTGGGAGTTGATTTTAGACAAATGAAAAATTTTATTATTTTTCTATAAATACATTATTCTGATACATATAATCCAAATTACAACTTATTGTTTCTTTATTTGTAGTTTTAAAGAAATTGTAATGCATTATATTTCCAGCTGCGCCCAATGCAAAGGTAACAATAAGTAGTAGGTACCAGTAAAACTGCTATTAAAAAAGTAATTTGGAACAATGTTGTATAAATAATTGATAAAATTCCTGCAACAAAACAAAAAGCTTAGTTAATATTTTAACAATAATATATAGTACCTTTTGCTCCTAAATATTCTCCTAAACGAAATAGAGTTACCACAGGCATTAGTACTGCCACAGTAATTAGAGGCAAGACAAGGGTACTAATTACAATGACCACTGCTAGGGCTGATAATGGAGATTTTGCTGCAATGTGCAAAATATTGGATTTTATTGTCTTTATACAAGACAATATAGGACCTAGAATTTATATTTTAAATTATTTTTATGAAAAAATGCTAATACATACCTAATGCAGCTTCCATATTATTATATATATGATTTGTTTAAAAATAATTCTTATCTAATGGCAATTATTTTTATAAGTGGATTTTATTTAAAAACAAATATTCAGCTACTGATTAAGTAATGCATTTTGTTGTTATATTGTGGGATAAATTAGGAACCGGCACAACTGATAAGAAATTTGAATGAATACTTTACGCACAATATAGGTAGTAGGATTTTTTAAAAATAAAACCGAAATTCAAAAACTTGAAATGGTAGAAAAATTAACACTAAAGAAATGAGAAGTAGAGAGAAATCAAGGAAAAATGAGAAAGAATTGAAAATCAAGAGCCTGGAATAGGATAAATTATGAAAATTCAAGAATTTGAATTGAAAGAGAAATATTTACTTGCTAATATTTCCTTATAATTACATATTGGGTACTCATATTGTAATTTTCAATCTTTGAAAAGTTCTGGAGCATTCTAGAATTTAAATAAACCTGATGAGATCACACCAGTTTTGCTCAAGAACTGTGTACAGGTGCTGAAAGAGCCTTTGTCTCACTTGCTTAACACCGTAATGAGCACAGGAGATTTCCCTTTAGCCTGGAAGAGGGCTGTGGTAACACCAATATACAAGAAAGGAAACAAACAGCATGCAGAAAATTATAGACAGTCTAACAAGTGCACTAGGAAAAAATAGTAGCCAAAGAACTTACTGATTTTCTACTTGAAAATGTTTTACCTGCTGAACAACATGGCTTTCTCCCAGGAAAATCAACATTAACAAACCTGCTAACCAGACTAAATGAGTGGACCCTGGCTGATGACAACCGTGAACCAATTGATGTCATTTACTTTGATTTTGAAAAAGCATTCGACAAGGTGCCAACAGAATTTTTGCTTTATAAATTGGAACATTTTGGAGTTAGAGGTAAACTTCTGAGGTTGTTGGAAGGCTTTCTCACTGTACGTACCTTCCAAGTACGTGTGTGGATTCCTCATTTACAAAGTACACAGCGGTGTTCCTCAGGGGTCAGTCCTTGGCCCGCTGCTGTTTATAACTTAGATAAGTGATCTCTATCAAGGGCTTCACACGAATAATGCAACATTTGCTGATGATGGAAACCTATAGGTACACAAATCCGCTTCTACATCAGGTTGAATTACAAATGGACCTTAACAATATTAAAGCTTGGACACATAAGTGGGGGATGCCTCTGAATGATTACAAATGCACTGTCCTTCATATTGGTCAAAACAATCGCAATTTCAGCTATTTTTTTAAACAAACGGAAATAACACCAGTAACAAAACAACGAGACTTAGGAGTCACTTTAACATATGACCTGAAATGGGATACACATATCACACAAATGTCCAAAAAGGCTATTTCAATGATCTACCTTATTCAGACAGCCTTTAAAGACTTATCAAAGGAAATGATCTTGAAACTTTACAAGTCGTATGTAAGACCAAAAACTTGAATATGCCCAAACGATCTGGAATCCATACTACATTAAAGACATAGAACAGATAGAGAGAGTTCAATAAAGGAGAATAACCAGATTACCGCATAAACTTAAAAATCTGTCCTATGAGGAACGGCTCCTGAGATTCAACTTCACAACTTTTACTATGAGAGCCCGTGACACAAAAGCCTCAGTCATCTGTTAGAAGGCCGTTTTTTTGTGCGAATAAATAATATGGACCTACTGAGGCCTGAACAGGAGCGGTTGGCGGGCCTTTCCCCTCCCTTCACCATGTCTGCCACGTTTTAAGTGAGGTTCGCAAGGGAAGGTCCTACCCTACAAGTTAGAAGGACGAAAAAAGTGGAAATTATACATTTTCACTTCCTCGTCCTTTCTGCTATGGGTTGGCAGCCGGTTGGCGCTCTATTGTTAATTTAAACATATGTTATATTTTCTAATTTTGAAATTTAAAGTGACACTCTGTGGTGACACTTATCAAAACTCGTTGACGTTATCAAATGCCTCACTTTTCATCATTAGTTGCAAACACAAAACATGCAAAAAATACAGGAACAAAATCTGTGATACTTTTGGGGCTGAACTACTTGAAGTACTTTGTTGTTATTATATTCTTTGTAACGTTGTAACGTACATATGAAGATTTAATTTTATTCAAATAAGTTACACAAAATGACAATGCGAGTGACAATGTATACTTAATGTATGGAAAAAAAACTAATTGGTGATAAATATTAATACTTAACACAATTTGAACAATTATTGATGATATTAACAACATAGTTTTCTGTGTAAATGAATGAATTGAATGTTTTTTCCATTATTATTTTATTCATGTAAAAACCTCCACTATGTCTTTAAATTATAGCGAGGGAAAAAGCAACTTCAATTTCGCAAAAACATGTTCAAATAAACAATAGAGCGCCAACTGGCTGCCAACCCAGCGCAGAAAGGACGAGGAAGTGGAATTGTATAATTTCCACTTTTTTTCATCCTTCTGACTTGTGGGGTAGGACCTTCCCTTGCGAACCTCACTTAAAACATGGTGGACATGGTGAAGGGAGGGGAAAAGCCCGCCAACCGCTCTTGTTAAGGCCTCAGTAGATTCATATTATTTATTCGCATTAAAAAACGGCCTTCTAACAGATGACTGAGGCTTTTGTGTCACGGGCTCTTAGACTATTTAAGAGACAGGAGAATCAGAGGTGATCTCATTGAAACACATAAAATACTCAACGGTCATTATGCCTGTAACCTGAGAGACATCTTCCACCTAAGCCACAACATAAATCTGAGAGGACACGATCAAAAGCTTTCTAAAGAAAGATGCAATAAGCTCCTGAGGAGGAATTTCCTTAACAATAGAGTTGTTTAGAATTGGAACCGCCTGAGCGCTGACACCATAAACTCTACCTCTAAAAATCAGTTTAAGAATCGCCTCGACCAGGAAATGACAAGTTGGGTCACAACCTCCTTTGTGCACTTCTGTCTATAGGCCATACAATCAGAACTAAAAATGCGATAGCTGTCTAAACAAATACGGCAGTCTCATCGGTTTTTCTTTAAACCGCCTACTGCTGTTAATAATAATAACACTACGAATTTTTTTATTAACATTTTATTACAGAGTCCAAACAATTTGTTTGAAAATAAAAGACTAAATAATTTGAATAACACTCAACAACATTGAATAATATAAGCTTTTGGAATGTAGTACCGTAGCTCTGTGAAAAAGAAAAAAATAATCTCAACTATAGTGAATATTTAATCGAAATACAACTAAAAATGACACCAAACACCAAATAATTATTCTATAAAGCTATATTATTGTATATTATTTAAAATAGGGGATTTACACAACAATAGGGGATTTTTTATTATAAGGGTAAATGTGCTCATTTGTATAAATAGACACCAATAGCAATAATAACTCAAAAATATAGTCACATTAACCCCTGCTTAAAAGTCATCTAATTCCTGATACTAGGCCAACAATAGCCAGGCTATAAACAGCATCGCTAGCCATAAGAAAACTTTAGACAGAAACTGTTCTTCCATGTATTGAGGAGTACCGTGTGGCGACACGTTAGGTCTAGGTTCGCCAAAATTAAAGGTCGAAGTGAAAAATCCAAACGGGAACGCTCCTATACCGAACGACATGTGAAAACCGCCATCTCCAAAACCAAAACCTATTTTACAAATTATTATTTTTTGAAAAAAATTAGTGAAAAATATTACCAGAAAAATTATTGCCTGGTTCAGGTTCGGTTCGTTGTCCGGCCGGTCTCGGTGGCACCTTGTCACGAGGATCTTCTTGTTTGGTACTGCCTCTGCCGTAAAGAGGTACCACCTTGTCTCGGCTTATTGCCGCTTTGCAAACGGGGCACACTTGACGATTCGGACGTGTCTCGAGCCATTGATGTAAGCAGGGCCAGCTAAAACAGTAATAATTCAATACCAATAAGGGATATTAAAGTAAATAAAGTGTACGAATTCTTACCAAAATAAGTGTCCACACAAACTGACAACTGCATCTTTAGCCGTGTCCAAGCATATGTTGCACTCGAGTAAGTTGTCTTCTTTTTTTTCTTCTTCTTTGGTGTTGGGCTTGTCGCCGCCGTCGCCTCGGCTGCTGCTGCTAGCAGTTTCTCTCACCTCTTCTGAGGTACTTGCGGACATGTTTTGGGTTCTACAACAAAATTTTGTCAATGAGAAATTGTTTTTATAGCTTTGTTCCAACAAAGCAGGAAAATGTACAATGTGCCTTCACGATTTTAGGAAATTTGTATGCAAAGTGGTTTCGAAACTGTACATAGAACTGTTTTTGAAGTGTTTGGTTTTGCTCGTAGACATATGCTCCCCCTGTGAAATATGCTATAGAAGAGTCACCACGAGTCACCCTCACAAATTCGATAATAAAAAATATCATACAACGAGATTTATACAACATATATACATATATATATATATATATATATATATATATATATATATATATATATATATATATATATATATATATATATATATATATAAAAATTAGGGAACGGGAACGGGAACGGGTGCATTATTATTCAGTCAATAAAAAATAAAAAAATGAATTCAGAAAAAAAAAATAAGGTCGTAGCTTTAGCCTTGGGTTTTTTCTTGAAATGGGTCCGGTTCTGTGTAGCCTGGATGCTGACTTTGACTCCTGTGCCTTTGAATATAAAATACAGTATCTGTTTGAATCCAGGGCCGAGAGCTGGGTCGGGCACTGGTAAAAAATAATAATAATAATAATAATGGGTCTTTTTCTTTTTTAGTCTTTAGTCCCCCCCTTATTAAAATCCGGGCCCCCCCAAGTCTCACGGGATTCGGATATTTGTCTTTTCGAATGTGACACTTGCAAAGCGAAATTCAAACAAAAAGGCAATCTAAAGGATCACATTTTAACACACTCGGATCTTTATCCTTTTGCATGTGATACTTGCAAAGCCAAATTTAAACGAAAAACCAATTTAAAGGATCACATTTCGACACATTTGGATATTTATCCTTTGGAATGTGACACTTGTAAAGCGAAATTTAAGCGCAAAGGCGTTATTCATCCTTTTGAATGTCACATCCGAGCCCCCCTGGTCTTATAGGCCCCGGGAATTTGTACCGTCTACGCCCCCTTCTTGACGGGCCAGTTTGAATCTTTCCCATTCTTGTTAAGGAAATACCAGTTTTTTGAAGGATTGCTCTTTTATGCTTTCTCTCAGTGCTATCAAACATTTATACATGTTTCTTGGTGTAGGTTTTGTCTAGATTGTCTCTCTTACAAAAAGGATCACTGTTGAGTATCTGTTCCAGAAATGAAATTTTCTCTTTGATTTTTTTTCATTTTAAATTGGTCATTGGGAAATGATGTTTCTTTTCAAGAATTGTAGCTTCTATTATAGGCTCTAACAAACCTGTATTATAAAAAAAATTTTCAGGTTTATAGTTTTTGAGAAAATTGAGTTTGAAGTTTTTGACCAAATTTCGACTATAATCCAACTTTAAGGCTCAATTGCTCGAAAAGTATTTGAGCTATCAAACTCAATTTAGCACAGATTTATAGAGAATTTAATGCTCTTTCCAATGGTATATAATTTATTTCAATTTGCTTGAAATTTAATAAAGATATAGGCAATTGTTCATGACCATGTCAAGATTTTGAAAATTTTCCAGAGCCAAAAAAAGGATTTCCTTTTTATTTTTGTTTCTATTTAAAATGGCCATTTGGCAATGATGTTTTTCAGTAATTTTGACCCATTTTATCGATTGGTGAAGTCAAAAATGAGCAAAACTGAAAATTAAAAAAGTCGAGTTTTTCATAAGGGTACCCCCTTTGAATTCTGATTTCAAAATATTCAAACCTCAATTGCTCGGTAACCGTTGAGCAAATTGCATTGAAATTATCAGTATTTGTAGCTCTTATCAAGCTCTAAAAGATCTGTAATTAACAATAGTCTCAGGTTTATAGTTTTTGAGAAAATTGAGTTTGAAGTTTATGACAAAATTTAGACTAAAAGTTAACTTAGAGGCTCAATTACTCGGAAACCTTTTGAGAGATCAAACTCAATTTTACACGGATTTATAGAGAATTTAATGCTCTTTCCGATGGTATATAATTTATTTTAATTTGCTGAAGATTTAACAAAGAATCGGGCGATTGTTCATGACCATGTCAGGATTTTGAAAATTTCCCAGAGCTAAAAATAGGATTGCCTTTTCCTTTTTGTTTCTACTCAAAATGGCCATTTGGAAATAATACCAGGATTGTTTTCCACTAGTTTTGACCCATTTTATCGATTGGTAAAGTCAAAATTGAGCAAAACTGAAAAATAAAAAAATCGAGTTTTTCATAAGGATACCCCCTTTGAATTCTGATTTCAAAATATTCAAACCTCAATTGCTCGGTAACCCTTGAGCAAATTGCATTGAAATTATCAGCATTTGTAGCTCTTATCAAGCTCTTAAAAACCTGTAATTTACAATATTCTCAGGATTATAGTTTTTGAGAAAATTGAGTTTGAGTTTTTGACAAAATTTGGACTAAAAGTCAACTTTGGGGCTGAAGTGCTCAAAAACTATTTGAGGTATCAAAATCAATTTAGCACAGATTTATAGAGAATTTAATGCTCTTTCTGATAGTGTATAATTTATTTTGATTCGTTCGAATTTTAATGGAAATATTGGCAATTTTTCTTAAACTTTTCATGATTCCAAAAAAATTCAGAACCAAAAAATGAGATTTTCTCTTCGATTTTTTTTCTCTTTAAATTGGTCATTTGGAAATGATGTTAGGGGTTTTTTCGACTAATTTAGACCCGCTCTTCCGATTAGAAAATTCAAAATAACAAAAATATGAAAAATAAGAATTTCGATTTAGGGGGTACCCCTTTGAATTCTTATTTCAAAATCTTTAAGTTTCAATATCTTGAAATCCGTGAGAGATAAATCAAAATTCTCAGGAAATGTAGCTCCCATTAAGCTCCCCAAAACCTGTATTGGAAAATATTGTCAGGTTTATAGTTTTTGAGAAAATTGAGTTTGAAGTTTTTCACTAAATTTCGACTAAAATCCAACTTTAAGGGTCAATTGCTCGAAATGTATTTGAGCTATCAAACTCAAATTAGCACAGATTTATAGAGAATTTAATGCTCTTTCTGATAGTGTATAATTTATTTTGATTCGTTTGATTTTTAATGGAAATATTGGCAATTTTTCTTAACCTTAAATTCAGAACCAAAACATGAAATTTTCTCTTTAAATTGGTCATTTCGAAATGATGTTAGGATTTTTTTCGACTAATTTAGACTCGCTTTTTCGATTGAAAAAGTCTCCTCTTGAACAAAGTTGTATCAATGATAAGATTCATAAATCTGAAAATTAAGCAACAAAAAGGAGCCATTCGAACATGAGAGATTTTCCAGTCACAACTAAAATGGTCACAAAATGAAAAAAGACCCAAAGAAAAACGTCAGTGAAAGATGTAGAAAACTGGTTTCCAAACTTCAAGACCAATCCAGTGACCCAATGTCACAATTTGAATTTCAATAATTAATTCCGAGAATAAGGTGCATGGTTAAGACAAGTCAAGAAATGATCAGATTAAGAGTGAAATATTGAATTGGAAATTCTGAACTACAATAAAAAAGTGATGGACATTTTGAGACAAGCCTGATAGACCGTCAGATAGTTTCATAGTTAGATAGGTAGGTGCCCCATTTTCGCATACAAGCCTCGAAAAGGGTTGAAAAGTACATTGATTTTGATTAGGATGAAGGTATTCTCACCAGTGGCTCCTGGAGATAACATATGGAAAATTCGATTTTACTTATAATACCCTAAAATGTACTTTTCCATTCGCGACACTCAAGACAATATGTTTTCTTGTTACCAACTTTGTAGATTTTCATCCTTCCGATGGGCTTGCGTGAAAAAATCGCCCAAAATCTCGATTTTTCCTTACAAGATTACGCCCATATTTCAAACCTTCGGCCACCTGCAACACCCCCTTCTTTGCTTTCACGAAGCCAGGTTTTATTATTTAATCCTTTGGTGAACAAGATTTGCGAGAAAATATGGGCACCAAGAAGTCTTTCATTTCTGTTATGGAAAATCGATTTTTTCATGTTATCCCCAGGAGCCAACCGTGAAAATACCTTCATCCTACTCAAAATCGATGTAATTTTCTCTCTTCGAGGCTTGTATGCGAAAATGGGGCACCTAAATATGTCACTATCTGACGGTCTATGAGAGAAAAACCTCTTAGAAAATAGATGAAGTTCATTTGATATTTTCTAGTCTAATAAATATGATGTAAAACTATAAAGGATATCAAAAAGTACCTAGCAGAATTAAACATTGAATTTGTTGCTAGTATTTAGTCCTTTCAAGTTCAGATTACAAATATTTGTGTTGAAATTGCTACCACATTCCTAGATTCTGGATCTCTTCTTTTCAAGTAAAATCATATGATGAAAGGTAATCAAAAAAATTTACACATTACCTACTATTTTTTTTAAATTCTTTTATTGAAAGTGGTTCACTGGTTCATTTGCCTATTACAGAAATATAAATAATAATTAAACAATCACTGCTTCAATATAAATTTTTAACAAGTCATCAAAATAAAGTAGTAAGTAGGTACAATAATTATTCATCATTCAACAGTAGGTAGGTACTTATATAAAATGAGAAAATTAAAATATAGAAGCTTAAAAAAGCCTTCTTAAATAAAAAAACTACCATGAAAAGAATTGTTTAAAAATACAAAGTTGTTTATAATTTATAGAAACAGCCAAAAATTTAATTTCATACAAAATCTAATAATTTTCTGAACAAAAATCAGATCGTCAAAAATAAATACAACTACTTATACTATTGTAAATCTAACCTAACCACTCAAGTCTTAAAGTTTACGGTTTGTCCAAAATTGAATCAATATAAGCTTGATGAATTTTCTTAACAAACTCCTTATCGGTTTTTAAAAGGTGAGTCAAAGCCTGTGCTAACTGTTTTTCTGTTAGTACTTCCAGTGGTTTGTTATTATCAACAGAACTAAACATCATTGGAGTCATCAAAGTGGGTTTGTGGGCGCTTTCCAAAAACTTTTGGAAAGGTGAGGTACCAGATTCGACATTATCGTTGACAGACAAAGGTTGGTTCTGCATTAGATAAGCTAGAGGTGAACTTGCTATGTTTTGCTGTGGTGGTGATATACCATTATGGTCAAAAAGTTCCAATTTTTTCATGGTTTTTGGTAAGTTGATGGGAATGCTTTTTCGCTCTGCAGCTGCTGCCATTAATTCTTGAGGAGTAATTGACCTTTGTTGTTCAAAGCTATGTAAAACTTTTTCGTCAGGGGGTTGCTTCTCACTATGAGATTGATTGGATCTCCTAACTAAAAGATGGAAAGCGTTTTGAGACTGATTAGATCTCTCAATTATTAAAGAGTTGTCTGTTTGATTTGCAGTTGGAGTAGTTGACCTTTGTTGTTTTTCTATGTGTTCAACACTGTGAACAGGGTTGGACATTAAACGGTGCAGCACATTTCCACCACTACTAGTGGCAGCTGGTTTTTGTGCTGAACCTTTTGTACTAGCTTTGGCAAAGAAGTCAATAACACTTTGCGAAGCTACGTCAAGGGCACGAGGCGTAGATGCAGAAACTTTGGGTGCTTCTGGTTTACTAGGAGTTCTAGTAAAGTCGTCCTGGGCCTTGGAAAGCATACTGAATATGTCTTTGTTGTTGCTCCCATTCTGAGGCAACGGGTTGTCATTGCAAATTTTGTCCTTATCCATGAGTGAATCGATAAGGGTAGCCACTCTAATGCATTCGTCTTGGTTGAAAAACCAGATGCCATATATCTTTCGCTTGCTCCTATAAAGTAAAAACGGTATTTGCACCTGATAGTCAAAGTCACTTATTATAGGCTCTATAAAGTTATCTTTGTTGAGCCTATTGAAAATCATAAGACTGTGGAGAGGCTCTCCATTTCTGCTGTATAAGAATAGAGCTCCTTCCTTTTCCGCTTTTTCCCAAACGCTACTATCATTGTTGAATTTATAAAGAGCGACTTGAGTGGCGGTTGCTAAGACGTTTTTAACGTAGGGGTCGATTCTTTTTAGGGAATTTATGCTGGTACGTAACTCGATCGAATCGGCCATAATAATTAACAAATTAAAATCAAAATTTTGGTGTTATTCAAAACACTGGACACAGAAATAAAATCACAAACATTGTTTTGTTTTGTGGACACTGTACACTAAAATATCACATACACACGAACGAGATTTAGCTTGGCAGAATGTTGACTGTCCTGTGCGTCTTCAGTTGGTCTGAAAAAAAAAATAGGAAAACTGGTGTCAGCCACAAAATGAATCCGTGTGTTGAAAAACTAGCAACATTGAAATCCTAACAGACACTACAATTTGTGAGAAATGGCTTAATAATTGAAGACAATTTTGGGGTAAATAATAAAGCCCAGCTTGGTGGGGAGGTGGGATTTTTTTTCCAAGGTTGCAAGGAAAAGTACCTATAGATTTGCAGAAATGACGCCAAAATGTTAATGGTATAATAGATTTGGCCTCAATTTATTATTGAAAAATAAGCAAATCTTATCTTATCTTTTATACGCAATTTCCTATTATTATAAACGTTTGATCACTTACCTATATATTGTTTTTGGGGCCAATTTCCAAAATTCCAAAGATGGGTTTTTTTTGCTTGCAGCTGTCACCCTTTGTACAAAACTGACGTGTCCTACTTTCCTATATAAAAAAAACAAATAAGGGCAATTTAGGAAAACGAATATCGATTTGGCTGGTTAGTAATTAGATTCCTCTTTACTTACCACTGCAATTTATTTTTAATTTTTTGAAAAGATTTCCATCCCATGTATTACCAAAAACATCAGATTCGTGTTGTCTGATTTTTGAGTAGGCATGAAAATGACATATCGATGTTTTTCGATATCGATTCAAGCATATCGATATTATACAGTGAACTGTGTAATTTGGTCCGATTATTAAAGATTTCCTCTCTTTGCTCCAATTCTTGTTAGCTGTGCTGTTAGTAATAAAACTCATTCTAACCTTTTAATAATATTGGTACGTTGAGAATTACAAAAAATTTGGATTATTTAATTTTGTCAATTCATTGGATTTGAATTTAGTACGTCCACTGAATGCACAAACTTCTATTTTTTTCGGAAAAGCTGATTATTCGATTAACCGGATTACCAACTAATGTTCTTTGTCTTTTTTTAATCTTGTGTATTAGAGAAAGATAAAAAATAAACAGCTGGTGAATGGATCATCGATACCAAATACGCCTTTCGATTTGTCAAGGTCATGTTTATTTACATCAATGAAGTCAGCTGCTCCCCAGACAAGAATTCAAAGTTCTCTTTAAAATAATTGCTAATTTATTAATTATTTTCCATAAATTTTAATTTCTCCAGATTATTAACTGATTATTTCGTTCAATTGCGAAACATTTCTAGTGCAGTGTCGCTTTAGAAATTCTCAAATAAACACAGGAAAAGAGTTGTGATAGTGATTGGATTCTCATGTAAGTGAAAATTGTTTATTTTGATTTTATTATTTTCATATTTTCTGCTGTAATATCTAAATATAAACTGTTTTATGGTAATTAGTTATATTATGTATTTGATGTTTTGTAATATTTAGAAAACGTTGCTAATATTTGAAAATGAGTCATGCGATTTGACTACATAAAATCTTGTCTTGTGATCCCTCAAAAAATGGTAAAATTTTGTCTTCTTGCCCTTAGAGAATTCTTATCTCTGGACTGGGCAAATGAGGCAAAATTCACAGGATTTATAGACCTTTACCTTTACCTTATGACAATAGGTAACATTATCCGAAAATGTAGGATGAATATTAGAGATAAATGAACATCTATGTAGGCTTACATCTGGATCCTAGGATACAATTTTGTTCTGGGGTAAAGCAGGATGTGAAGGAGGCGCATTTATTATGCGAAAATGTGTGCTTTTTCTTAACTTGTCCTATAGAGAGTCTTGTTGAGGACAATTCAAAGAAACAAACATTCTTACACTACCGGGTATCTATATCCAGGGTTGGCAGGATATATATCACCGATAAATATCCTGATATATATCTTGATAAATATCATTATATTTATGTTATAAATATCATGATATATATCAATATCATTTGTGTGGCCTTCTTTTCTTATTTTATAGTTTTATTATTTTATGTTGAGAAGTTTAACGGCTGTAGTAGTATATTTATGAGAAAAAAATCACAGGGATCTTAGCCAAAACAGTCTATTATCAATTATCAAATCAAGGTGTTCTGGTTGACCATTTTATGCACACGAGACGAAGCCCAGCAACAAGGGCGAATCAACCACCAACGCAATAAATAGAAGCAAACACACAAAAAGAGAGAAAACAAGCCTTAATGTGCTCCATTATAACACACAATCTATTAGAGACATTAAAGAAGAGATGGATGCTTTTGTCCATGACAAGAAAATCAGTATTCTGTGTGTAACGGAACATTTTCTGAGGGAAGATGAAGTTGAATTTTTGAAGATAGGAAATCTTGATGTGGCAGCCTCATTCTGTCGAAAAGAAAACACAAGAGGTGGATCAGCTATATTGCTTGAACAAGACTCTAGTTGTAAGGAAATACTTGAGGTGAAGCAGATGAGTGTGGAAAAATGTATAGAGGTATGTGGGGTAAAGTGGTCTAAGTATAATATCACAATAATTTGCGTGTATAGGTCTCCTTCGGGAAGTTTTGATTGATATTCTTGACAAAATTCTTAGAAATATCGGTATACAAAGTAAATTAATACTTGCAGGGGACTTCAATGTTAGATTCTGCTCAAACGAAAAGACCTGTAGGCATCTGGTAGACCTTTTGGGCACGTATGGTCTTGTCCAGACGATTTTCGAACCTACACGGGGTGATAATTGTTTGGACAACATCTTTATTAATTTCTCGGAGACTGTGTTCATTGCGAGTGTTGTTAGACCTAGCAAGTCAGATCATGATGCGCAATTACTTGCAGTCAAATGTCCACAACAGAAAATGAATTGCGTTTTTACTGAAACATTATGTCAGCCTATAACACAAGCAGGGAGAAACATATTTTATGAAAAAATATCTAAAATAGACTTTAATTTCATTAATAATGACTCTCAAGCTGGGGAAAAGTTTGAAATCCTCATGCATTTCGTTGAATTGGCTTTCAATGAATCGTTTCCTAAAAAAAAATATAAAAAAAGGGAAAACCACACAAATGAAATAAACTGGTTCAACAACGACCTAAAAAACATGCGAGAGCATCTTCAATATCTAAATGATTTATATAGACATCATCCAACTCATCAATTAAAAGACTATGTTAAAAAATTTCGCAATGACTATAAAAAAGCAATAAAACAAGCAAAAATAAATTGCAATGAAACAAAAATTAAAAATGCTGCAAATCCAACGAGATGCATGTGGGAGATCGTGAACGATTACCAGAAAAACACAAAAAGTAATAAAACACAATTATCTACAATATCAGCCCAAACATTTAATAACTTTTTTGTAAACGTCGCGGTTGACATACAGGCACAAATCCAGAACACGGACATAATACCAATTGCAAAAATGAATAATATTGCTCAAGCTGGTCAATCTTTCTCCTTTACGGAGTTGTCCTTCAATGAAGTACGGGATATAATTGACCAACTGAAAAACAAGGTGAGCAAAGACTACTATAATTTAAATATTACTATAATAAAAGGGGTCAAGAATTTATTGTTGATACCACTAACTAAATTGATAAATATCTGTATCAGAGAAGGGGTTTTTCCGGACTGTCTGAAAATTGCCAAGGTAACCCCAATATATAAAAAAGGGGATCTTAACCGGCAGTCTATTAACAAGACTATACCTCAGAATATCCCCGATGTAATCATTAAACCAAGGATCCCCCAAGATGTTCAGCAAACGAGAAATGATATCTCAATAAACATCAACCCTACTGAATTAAAAATTGGGATAAAAAAACTAAAACCAACTAAATCTGGTGCCATTTTGATCAAGTGTGCCAATAAACACGAAGTGGATGTTCTCAAAGCGGCAGCAGAGGAAAAACTGAAAGACACTTACCTAATAGAAACAACAAGGATGAAAAAGCCAAGAGTAAAGATTACAAACTTTAATAAAGATATGACAAAAGAAGAAATAACCAACTCAATATTACAACAAAATGAAACTCTGCAGGATTTCAATGTGACATATATCAAAAATGGAAAAAATGGTAACAAAACCATATTTGGAGAATGCTCAGGTTCCTCGTTCAAGCATCTGTTACATTTGGAAAAGATTTATATTTCTTGGGAACGCTATCCAGTCTATGAGGATCTATCCGTCCCACGCTGCTTTCACTGCCAAGGTTTTTATCATATGAAGCAAGACTGTACAAATAAACTTGCCTGTCCGCTTTGTAGTGAAGAACATGAATATAGAGACTGTCCAAAACAAAACCAAATGTGTGTAAACTGCTGCCATTCTAATAATAAATACAAAACAAACCATGATGTTAATCACGAAGCAAATAACACCCAGTGTCCCACGTTACAATTTCATATTGATTTATTAAAGAATAAAATTGATTATTCTTCATAATGGTTTTAAACGATCAAGATATTATACTAGACAACCTAGAACAATTAGATCAAGATCATCGTGGTGACTATATCCATCCTAGAAAATGTGAAACTCTTCTAGCATCTTCGGATAAATGTTTAAATATTATGCATTTTAATATACGGAGTGCAAATAAAAATTTCGATAATTTCATTACTCTGGTTGAGGCGTACAAGCTGATGAACTGTGACATCTTTGTGTTGGGTGAGTGCTTCCAGGGAGTAGCTTCTGAGAACCTCAATATTCCTGGTTTCGTGACAGTTCATAGCGGCGGAAGTTTCAATAGAAATGATGGAGTATTAATTCTTATTAAAAACAGTTTAACTTTTAATGTATTGAATCAAAAACTTGATATGTGTGGTGTGACCCTATGTATTACATGTATAGAGATATATGGTATGTATTTTAGAATTATTGCTTTGTATAGACCCAATCCAAGTAACTTGATCTCATTCATTGACGAAATTGATATATACCTGGAAAATTCCAAGCAGCTAAATGAGGTCGCAATATTTATAGGAGACATAAACGTGAATCTTTTAAATGACAGTAATGTTAGTGTCAATAGATATTTTTCCTACGAGCCTGCGCAAAGTAGTACTTTTCCGCACGCATTATCGTTCTCAAAGTTACACTTTTCCGCACTCAGTGCGGATACGGGCCTTATCCGCACTGAGTGCCGAAAAGTAAAAATAATTGTCAAGCACCTGTCGACTTTGACACATGATGACAAATTTTTCCTCTGTTTCTATAGCTATCAGCCAACATCTATACAAACACTTAATATAATAAACTTTGACACATTGTCAGATTTCTGTTCTCAATTTACGTGCAAGAATCTACAAACTTCTTTCGCATCAAATTTAAACGCTTTAAGATGAACAGCTCTGACGAGGATTTCAATTTCCTGTTTTTTTGTTATGTAATTTTTTGATAAATGAATAGTTTCGCTTCAGGTTAATTGAAAATAATTGAACAAATTATCGTTTTTTTTTAAAATTTTTGTTGTTACCTACCTGATATGAGGCTCGTAGGAAAAATTTTGTTCCTAACACGTGCGCAAAGTTTCTTTTCCGCACGCAAACACTCATCCGAACTCCGCTGCGCGTCGTTCGTATAACTGTGTTTGCGTGCGGAAAAGTAACACTTTGCGCACTTGTTAGGAAAATAACTATATCAGTACTAGCCAAACATGGTTTTTTGCCCTATATTTTAAACCCTACTCGTATTACACTAGAAAGTCAGTCATGTTTAGACCATATATTTTTAAAAAAATCAACCAAGTTCCAAAATTTAAACTTTAACTCGTACATTGTGGAATGTGACTTTACAGATCATTATCCTATTTTTATGAGTATACATTTAAAATCTAGAACCAATTCTCTTTCGGAGAACCTCATTAAAAAGCATATAAAAATAGATAATAGAGCACTAAAAACATTTTTGAAAAATGAAAATTGGGACCATATATTGAGCATTGATGACCCACAATTAGCCACCAATAAATTCTCAAATACTTTCAGTAGTTTTGTAGATAGAGCAAAAATTGAAAAAATATTTACCAAAAAGAAAAAAAAGATAAAGCCATGGATAAGCGAGGGCCTGATCATATCAATAAAAAATAGAGACAAAATGAAAAAAATATTGACTCGACATTATTCCCATGCACTAGAGCAGCAATATAAAACATACAGAAACGAGTTAAATAGGCTCATAAAAAAAGCAAAAAATGACTTCTATCAAAATCAGATTCAAAATAATAAACACGATCTTAAAAAAATTTACCGAATAATTTCAGAAGCTACAAATGAGAAAACTCGCTCAGAAAATTCATTGCACCTCATTAATGATGAGGGTCTCCTTTTAACAGAC